AGTAATGTAATTTGCCATCCAAAAAAGAGAAACACTAAGAATGCTTCTCTGTTGTCAAGTTAATATGCTAACCACCTGTCCTTGTAACAGCAGACAGCTATACAGTACTAACATAAAACATATTGTGCTCACTACTGATTCCTATCCTGCTACAGGTTAAGTACTACTTTAGTTATAATGTACAGAGCATATTAAGAACAGAGATTTGTGGATTCCCCTGGGTTTTCTTTTGTCTAGCTTACCAACGATCCCCAGCTGGCAGGAAAACATCCATTAACAAAACTGCTATATGTACCTCCAGCTGTTGCCTTATGTTATGGGGAATGGGAGAGGTGCTTATCAAGTATCAAGTCCACAAAGTGATCCATCCATCCATTTGCATATGATCAATTCTTGAGTCTGTGGGCAAGTTTATCAGAAGAACAAAATACAAGAGATGGCTGTCATTAACTGAAAAAGGGATTTGAACTGGGCTTTTCTATATAGTTCTCTTAAACTCTGTATACTGTTGTATTGTTTTGGTTAAATGGTAAATTAAATCAGACTTTCAGCAGATACGGAATATACCGTATTTTCAAAAACAACTTAAATATTTTTCCTGATTTTATTCATCACATTTATGTTTCTCATTCACTTTTCAAATGACTAGGATAGACAACCTAGAGTTCTCTAAAACAAAATAATACAATTCACATATTTTGATCTTTTTTCTTAGAAATAATCACTCTATTTCTCCAGAGACATAAAAGGATTTTTTCTCCCTCTGCCACCAGAACAAGAAACATATAATTCTATAAGATTTATTTAATTGGCCCTGCACAATATTACACACAAGTTCAAGGATAATAATAATAATAATAATAATAATGTTAGAAGGGACCTTGGAGGTCATCTGGAGGTCATGGCTGTCCAGTCTCTTCTTAAAATCATCCAGTGTTGGAGCATTCACCGCTTCTGGAGGCAGGTTGTTCCACTGGTTAATTATTTTAACTGTCAGGAAGTTTCTTAATTCTGGGTTGCTTCTCTTCTTGATTGGTTTCCATCCGTTGCTTCTTGTCCTGCCTTCAGGCGCTTTGGAGAATAGCTTGACTCCCTCTTCTTTGTGGCAGCCCCTGATTTATTGTAACACTGCTATCATGTCCCCCCTCATCCTTCTCTTCGTTAAACTAGACATACCCAATTCCAGCAACCGTTCTTTATATGTTTTAGCCTCCAGTCCCCTAATCATCTTTGTTGCTCTTCTCTGTACTCTTTCTAGAGTTTCAGCATCCTTTTTACATCGTGGTGACCAAAACTGGATGCAGTATTCCAAGTGTGGCCTTACCAAGTCATTGTAAAGTAGTATTAATACCACGTGATCTTGATTCTATCGCTCTGTTAATGCAGCCTAGCACTGTGTTGGCCTTTTCGGCAGCTGCAGCACACTGCTGGCTCATATTTAAGTGATTGTCCACTAGGACTCTGAGGTCCCTCTCACAGTTACTACTATTGAGCAAGGTACCCCCTATACTGTACCTGTGCATTTGGTTTTTCTTACCTAAATGTAGAACTTTGCTTTTTTCACCATTGAATTTCATTTTGTTGAATAGTGCCCAGTGTTCAAGTCTGTCCAGATCCTCCTGTATCTTAAGCCTGTCTTCTGGAGTGTTGGCTATTCCTGCCAGCTTGGTGTCGTCTGCAAATTTGATGATTTCCCCATCTATCCCCTCACTCTTCAATAATGAATATTCATGGGAGCCAACAAGAATGGAAGGAATCATTTATTTTTAAATACATAGAAGGCATATTTATTGTTAACTAGAAAATAACCTGTTTGTTTTTTGTTTTCTCTAGTTACAGTCTATTTCTTTGGTGTAATACTTTGATAATTACTCTTGCCGTTACTCATCTTTCACATGGATACCTTTACCTGGCATTTTTTTTTTCTAATAGAACTATGCAACACAGAGAGAGAATCCACTGCCTATGTAAGAAGAAAAATGATGAAAATGAAATGCATTTTATGTCATGACTTTCTGATGCTGTTGAGGCATATGTCTAGGTCTAGGAAATTAGATAATCTCGTAAGATATAAACAAAATTAAAACTTTTTCTTAAAAAAGGGGAAAAAAAGTATTGCAAAGCTTTCAGCGTTGGGAAAGATAAAAACAGAAAGGTGTGAAAAACTAGATGGAAAATGCAAAAACAATAAACGTACATTTATATTAATCTGTAATTTAAGATAACTTGAATAGAGAAAATGCACATTGGAGATTATAATGCTTAATTATACTCATTCCCAAAATAAAAATATTAAGCAATGTTTATAGTTCAGATTGGTTATCTATTTCTTAGAGACAAACAGATCACTGTAAAACTGTTCCTGGATCTTTATAGGGTCTAACAGCCTTTAATTAGAGACTCCAGAGAAACATACCTTAATTTCATTCACTTGCTTTACTCTTGGATTGTTTTATATGACAAAAGCTCCTTATCTACTGAACAGGACACATTGGGAAAATCTACTTTTATAGGTAGTTCTCTTTTAGCACCTGCCTTGTACAGCAACTTTTCAAAGTTGTGATAGTGATGAAAAAGTAACTTTATGATCCATCCTTGCATTTATGACCTTTGCAGGTCTATAAATCAAAGGAAAGCTAAAGTAAGATCATAAGTACAATTGCAGTTTTACTTAGTAACTCCTTTGTTTAATGAACGAGTTGCTGCTCCTTTATGTTCACTAAAGAAGGATTACCTAAGGAAGTATTCTTAAGATGTTGATTGAGCCTCTGAGCATCCTTCACCTAAATATAGAAGCACTTCACCAATCTTGGTTTATCTTGAAGAAAGGCAGAGTCAGGCCTACTTGGTATTTGGATGAAAGACTGGGCATTGGAGGCTGAAGACTAGATTGTGAAGTTGAAAACAACCCCAAAAAGATGGCAACTCTAAAATACTTCTGTGTATGGAAAATGTAATTCGATGTTGTTATGCCTTGGCAATGAGCTCTGTAATGAAGAAATTAGGGGTTATTTCTCAGTCATTCTGTAAGCCCAACCCTTTTCCTTGGAGGATTTGATATGTTCAATAGTTCTTTAACACTACTGACTAGATTGAATTAGTTTAACTTTATTAGTTTTACTTCTAACAATCTTGATTTTTAGTGCCTTCAAATAATGTTCTAGAATTATATTTCTTTTCCTGGTTTCTTTATCCCTTCTCACAATCCTCTTTAGCTTTAACAATCCTCTTTTAGAAATCCAATGTAGGAAAATTATCCAGATCACTTTTGTAGTTTGTTATGTAACATCTTTCTCTATGTCATTCTTATAGCCTATTATTTTCAAATCAGTTTCAATCTGATCATGTAGAAATTGTCCTTCTTCCGTAGCATCTTTTAAACAGAATCTATCTATAGAGGCAGGCATTATTAAAATTAATTTCTGGGATTTTTGTTCAAAAATATCCTTCAATATGCCCTGAAGTCTTATTTTTTTTAAAGAATTCAAACCAGAATCATTTTCCCATGGGGAAGATTCTTTACAGTTAATTCCAAAATGTTTCAGATTTATCTGGATCCTTAATATGTTTGTAACTTTCTAAAACTGAAGTTTTAATCACCTTTTGCTGTTTATTAAAAACACATTTAAAGTCCTTAAACTTGTATTTAAAACTTTTATCACTAAAGTTTGAAGGAAACTCACTTGGTGCTATAAAATTTGTTGATCCAAAGGTTCTGAATAGCTGACCAGCAGTTTCCAAAAGTGACTGAAAATAAAAGATGCAAATCTAATGTCCTTTTAAAGCAGAGGTCTTCAAACTTGGTCCTTTTATGACTTGTGGACTTCAACTCCCAGAATTCCTTAGCAGGGCTGAAGAATTCTGGGAGTTGAAGTCCACAAGCCATAAAAGGGCCAAGTTTGAAGACCCCTGCTCTACTACTTTTGATCAAATCTGTCATGAGGAATTGGAAAGGAAAAAAATATGCCTAAATCAAAATAAAAAGTCCTTCAGTACAAAAACAAAAACATAATAAATGAAGGCTCTAATGCCATCTGGGGGTTCATAGTCATATCACAGCAGCTCTGTTCTGGCAATGTGACATGTGAGGTCCTGATCCAGCAACATCCCTGACAACTGAAGTGATCTGCTGTGAACTCCATTTATCAAATGGTGTATGAATATGCAAGCAATCTCCTATTATTAATCATTGTTTTACAAGGAGCATGATGAGAAAATAAAATGCAATGTTTATACGGGATAGATGGCAATCTGTTTAATTTCTCATAGCCGACTATGTGCAGTTACACCAATAAACCATTTACTAAAAAGCCTGTCTTGGAATGAGGCACTATGGATAATAGGCAAAATATTTGTGTCATCACCAAAACACTCATTAGAAATTCTGTAACGTTAAATGAAAAGCTACAGCATGTCTCTTGGTTCCAATTAAGCAATCTACAACTGCTCCTTAGAATATAAACATGATGACAAAAAAGGAAACATTCAATGAACTCACAAAGACTTGTACTAGTAAAAGCTCCTTATAGCTAATTTGCATTAAGAGCTTTCCTAACAGTAGTGATTGTCTTTAAACACAGGGGATGTTTTAGTTCCTTATGTTGCTTTGTACAATGATTGTACTTGATTGTGCCTTAGCAACTGATGCCTTGCTAAGGGATGTCTGCTACAAGATATCAATATTAAAAATGTAAAAGATCAAGACTGAGTACTTCTGATCATATGCCAACTTCCAAAATAAAATCCCCAATGGGAGGGTGTGGGCAAGGGAGCATGACTTTACAACACATGCAGAGAAATCTAGCACATCAGTGCAAAATGTCAACTGCCCACTTCCAATTCTACCCTCTAGTCTAGTCCAGATAATAAACTCTTGCTAAATTTGTTTTGAAGATAACATAAGCAGATGTGGGATATGGATAAATTCTGTAAGTTTTTTTTCTAAAAGCAAATCATCGACTAGCATCTGACCCTTCCTTGAAAAATTAATACCATTGCAGAATATATTAATAGAACTTGGAGAAGAGGAAAATCACTGGATTGGGAAAAATTCAATTGTTATAAGAAGGGACTATCAATAGATGGAGAACCTTTGAGAATAATCCTTTCTTTGAAACAAAAGGTATGTTCCCTTTTATAAAATGTATTATTTTAAAAAAGTTTAAAATAGCACCTAAGAACATTTACAGATTTCATTTCTTTTGTGAAGGAAATGCATCTTAAATCTCTTGTAAGGAATCTGATATTTTGTCATCACCTTGCTTGCATACTGAAGTAGTGATCACTTCCTACAGATACTACCATAGATGAAAGAGGCAATCCTATTGACAACATACGAGTTTAGGAATAAAAGACATTGGTCAATGCTTATCTTTACTACTTTTCCATTTTAACTTTTGAAACCTTGAAGACCCCTTTGAGATGGGAAAAAGAAAATCTGAAGAGAGGACAAATTCTATGACTAAATGAATTGAAGATCAATATTTCCAGAAGCCAAGGGAAGGAGTGTACAAAGTTTATTTGTTTGACTAAGGTTAAAGTTAGCTGTTTTATAAAACTCTGGGATTTCTTATGGACTTTTTGCTGACAGTAGGACTAAAATATTAACAATATATGAATTTGCACATGAATAAAGGATGGGTTATAAGAAGAGATACTTGCATGTAACCTTGTAAGGGATGAAGAATTATTAAGCTTGTTTGTATCTATTGTAATGAAGATCAGAAATAAGAATTGTTTCTTTTCTTTTTAATTTTTTTCCTCTGTCTCTTTTCCTTTTTGCACTTTCTATTCTTTAGTTTTTTTCTTTTTGAATTTACTTTATACTGTATTTTATCTTTTTTAAATAGATCAATAGTTATTATAAAAACATTGCAATAAAATGACAGACTCTTCTGAAAGACTCAAGGCAACTGCTTTGAAAACTTTCACTGGTTCTCTATGCCTTTGTATTTATCCACAGCTTTGCAGATGTTTCCAGCAGAAGTGTTGCTTGTAAACAGCTAACAGGTGACTCAAATGAGAGGCATGTTCCATTATGGCAGATATAGGACATCTCCAGAAGACATAGCTGGCATTCTTGCTATGTAAATGCACTCCAGGTAAACCCAAACTGCAAACTTAAGTAGTAACATTATTCTTTCTGGCCTTTTGATTAAAACAATAATTATTATGTATTAGGGTTACATCCCAACCTTTATTTTTACAACTTGAGGCAGCATACATAATGGTCTATCCTCTTATTTTCCCCACAACAACAATCTGATGAGGTGGGTTGACCTAAGAGAGAATGATTGGCTCAAAATCATACAATTGGCTTCCATGACTAAAGAAAGATTAGAATCATGGTCTCCCAGTTTTTAGTTCAGCACCTGAGCCATTACATGAAAGGAGCTCTCAGTTGTTTGGCTATCTTAATAAATATTATTTAATAAATACATAAAGATGTTTTGCTTGGAATACTTATTTCCACAAAACAGTGAGCAAGAGTTAAAATAATGGATATGGAATTCCCTTGTAGCAATAAAATAGGCAAAATCACAAAATCATGTAGGCTTTCTGCTAGGTAGGCCTTCTATACATTTTGATGCAATACCATAAACTTTTCCTAGCTTAGAATTGAAAACTGTTAAGTAGCACTAAATAATTTAATACTGGTCTATAAACCTCACAAGGTTTATTTGTTATGCAAGTAACATGTTTAATGCAATGTCTAGACTAGAGCATGGGTATCAAACTCGCGATGTCACGTGACGTGTCACGACGTATCATGACTTTTTTCCCATTGCGGGCAATGGGGTGGGTGCAGTTTTGGCATGATGCATCCGGCCCATGGGCTGGCAGCTTGACACCCCTGGTCTGTATTTCAATTGTCACTGCAGGATGATCTTTCTCCATGATAATTACCTAGGATAATTACATATTTAACTATCAATGATAGGGAGCCAGAACAATTTCCATAGATTTATTAATTTTTTTACCTGCGATATTTGTTAACAGCTCAATCTTATGACTCTGCACAATATACAATTGTAAAAACAGTTTTAAAACTGTTGTAAAAACAGAATATTATAATACAATAATATTCAATTAAAGATTAAACAAAAATATGCATGCTTGAAGGAAGACTCATGGACTAATTATATGGAGCAGAAAGTTAATTGTAATACCTACTTAAATGCAAGAAAGGTAACTTGTGACACTTTCTGACATTTGAACCATGCCTGGAAATAATCTAGTTAATAGTGCATCAATGTGTGTGTAGCCATGCAAAACAGAACCCTTCGAAGGACCACACTCCAACCTACGAATCTTGTTACCCTATCCAAGGGCAACCCTAATGTGTTGGGATTCTTATGATTAATGGCACAAGATGAGGATATACTAATTTTTAAACTGGACAACCCATGATCTTATCAGACTTTTCAGAATAATAAGGGCTATTCTCCATTCAGTATGTGTTCTGTTCTGTAATAACCAATATAATATTTAATTTTAATATTATACAACCTTCATCTTCATTTTAAAAAACTGGAGACTGAACTTAGAATGGCTATCTGTTTAAGAAAAAAAGAGATGGCATTATGGTAGGTGCTTCTCCAAATTTTGTGCTAGATTACAACTCCAATAGTTGACTCTTTCAAAATCTGGAAAATCAGAGTGCTTATCCCTGCTTCAAAATACCACATAAGTAGGACATAAACACTTGGCTGTATTCCCACTTATAAGTGGGGAGGAAAACTGCTCCTGTTGATTTTCGGCCTGTCATGCAATTGTTGAAAACTGAGACTGTCCTTGTAAAAGCAGCATTCACCCTCCCGTAACTTGTGGGTATTTCAATTTCAGCTCCGATCGTGCTGGCTAGGAATCAAAGGAATTGAAAGCCCATATATCGGGAGAGCACCAGGGCACCGAAAACTTCCTGGCTCATGTATTAAGATCGACAGGATGCCAATTTGGCACGTTTAAAGAAACAGATCGATCACTCGATACACCCATAGAACATAGAATCATAGGGCTGGACCCTTCCTGCTCAAGGCAGGAGACTAATACATCCTGGTCAAATGGTTGTCCATTTGTCGACTCTAGTTTGGTTTAGTTTCTAGGTTGGACTAGAAGACCTCTAAGGTCCCTTCCAACTATTATTCTGATATAACCAGTCAGATCTAGCTTAGCATCTAGTCGGATCTAGTTTAGCATCCAGGAAATCTGAAGGAGTTTAGGGAAAGCTTCTCATGGAAGATTCAGGACCAATTAGCCGCGGAGGTATTTCCTGAAATTTCTCACGCGACTAGTCCAATTTACGTCTAATTCCACTACCAGCGGCTCCGTCGCCGACTCCCCCCGCCCTTCTCTTGCAAGTACGGCAAGAGGCGAGGGACTTCCGCGTTAAGACAGGGACGCAAGCTGCGGCTGACAGCTACCGGCATTTCAACCGGAGACGCGAAGGCCGTCATCCCAGGCGCCCGGACCCCGCCTCTCGCAATGCTGCGGTGGCTGATAGGAGGGGGGCGCGAGCCGCAAGGGTTGGCCGAGGTAAAAGCCCGCGATGGGTGGTGAGGGACGTTGGTAAAGGAGAGGTGCGAAACCTTTCGCTTTCCCTGCCTTGGTAAAGGGAGGAGGCGTGTTTTGTTTATTTCATTTACGTCTGGTGGACGCAGTGCTTGTATCTGTCTTGAGGAAATCGGAGCAACGTCGAGGGCTTTTTTTCCTTATGCTTAGAGCAGTTACACACTCTTGAGCCTTGGCAGATGGTAGTTTTCCCCCAAGCCTTCCAAAGATGCGGCCCTTTCCAATTCCCAGAGTTCCCACCCTGTTGGGAATTAGGGATGCCGTTTTTTTTTTTCTTTAAGAGATCTCCATGTTGCGAAAGATCGACCCCTTGGTCACTACAGCTGGTTTGCTCAAAGTAGAAGAATCACCTCTAATTTTAATTTTTCACACCGAGTTCCTGCTTCTTTTGTGCGTTTGTCTTAGTGAATATGAAACTGAACTGCGCAGCTACTCTTTCTTCCTCTTTTAAAAGAAAGGAATAAATAAAGGAAACGGAGGTAAAAGACTGAGGAAACATGGAGAGAAAGGGTTGAAAGTGAAGGAGAATTGAGAAGAAACATGGATTTAATATGGGAAATGGATGAGATTCAGCTTCATAGACTAAATGAAACCCCCTTTTCAATTGAAACGATATGAGTTTAACAGCCACCCAGAAGACTAGTTTTCTGGTCTTAGTTCAGGGCTTGGTTTACTAGTTTTCCTGTCAAATTACAAACGTTTTATCAATTTCACCCTGGCTCCCAAATTGTCTAATTAGTAGAGTGCTGGCAGTGATTGGCTACAATCTGCATGATCTGGTGGTATATAAAATGGGCTTAGAACATGTAGAATGATATCACCTCTCAAGAAAAGGAGATTCATGCAAAACTCACCTGTGATATAAATAGCAGAAATTTTTAAATGATTCATTTGAGAATGAACCAGCAAGCTCTCTCTCCCAGGTTAAATGTAATTCCCCCTTTTGTTACAGACAGCAATGTATAGGCTGTTAAACAGATCAGTAGGTAGAGGGCAAGTGAGGAAGAAGTGGGTGGGAGGTCACATACTATCTTCCTACTTCATTGTGCCTACTTTCTTTGCTAATTATCAGCTGGGCTAATTTTTGATATACAGGTAGTCCTTGACATACAACTGGTCGTTTAACGATCATGACCATTCAAAATTGCAATGGGCTCAGAAAGAGTGCTTTCTGGTCTGTTCATCAGTTCAGCTATTTGCACTACTCAAATACCAAGTTATAACTTAAAGGAAAATTGCTACAAAATGTATTTATTTAAAATTATTGGCTGCCTACTCCAGGCGACTCTGGGTGTCATACAAAACTAGCAAAAAAAGAAAGAAAAGCTAAAAATGTAAAATCATAGAGACAGCCCAGACTGAAACAATCTGATAAACAAATGAAGACAAGCAGTGTCTCATATACCAGCCCCTATGCCATAGTGTTTTAAAATGCTGTATAGATGGTATACAACTCCATCAATAATATCTGAAATAAATCAGACTGTAATAAATGTTGGAAATGTCACGAAACAGAAAGAACATTTTACCACATGTGGTGACATGTAAAAGAACTCAAAAGTACTGGAAAGACATTCATAATATAATGAAATGAAATCACAATTTTTCCTAGTAGTAAATCTCAGGAAAAAAAAATCAAGAAAGATAATTTAATGAGATACATGATTATAGCAGCAAAAATAAACTAGAGGCAATATTGGAAGGAAAAATACAATCCTAACAATATCTGACTGAGAACTTAAATTTGGAAAATATGCAGCTATGCTGAAACTTAACAGGATACTTACACAATAGAAAATTACTAAAATTACTTACTAAAAATTACTTACTAAATTTAAGAATAATATATATACAATATATTACTCAGCATGGTAAATATATTTGCTTATAGTCTGGCTTTTAAGGGGGCCTGAATATACAAATATTGTATATTAAATAATTCAGTAGTTAGGATCAAAAGGAATAGAAAATGGGCATAATCTATTGATTGAAAAATATTAAGACTAAATTGTGTGATCCTCAGTTTTATTTTTCTAGAAATCTATACAGACTATTGGTGAAGAACAAGCTCAGAATCCATATACTGAGCTTCTTGTGCTGAAAAGTCACCATGATATAGTGCGTTTTCTAGTGGCAATTGATGACTACCGGTGAGACATTACTTCTATATTCCTCATTTCACTGTAAAGATGATTTCAATTTTTTTTTAAAAAAAGAATGTTAATATTTTGCTTTCCCAAATTGAAACCTATATGATGGACAGCTTAATTCTTATACATAAATTGATACAAGAAATCCCTTAATCCCAATTAAAAAACATCTGTCGAAGATTTTGACAGGGCAAGTTATATGATTTTAATTGCCATTAGCTTTCCCGACTTTACTGAAAACATGTCTTAGAATGCATTATTTCACAATAATTATATACATTTTATACATTGTTTTCTTATCAGCAAACATTGGAAAGAAAGCATTTTACACAAAACAAAAGGTACTATGATTTGGGGGAATCACAGAACAGATAGAATAAACTGTACAAATTATATCAATTATACAGTATCTCTCAGACATATGACACTTTATTCCATATTTTTGAAGAGCAGGTTCTGCTAATTTGTAAGAATATTAAGTCCATGGATTCAAGTTTATTTAATTGAATAGACAAATTTACCCAGTGAATTGTAGTAGAAAGTTTTAAAGCAAATTTGACATACTAAACTAAAATCCCTTTTTGGATAATATTTATTTAAAGAGGAATAATTTATACAGAAGAATATTACATCTTCCTTTAATTATAATACAATTTTATTTTCATTGTTCCTTATTCAATCATTGGAAGATTTTTAACTAAACATTATCTTATTAATTCCTTCCAAAAACATTAGCATTGTTACTTGGTTTCTGAAACAATTTTATTTAGTTTTCATAGTTCTTTGATTGCATTTTTGTCAACTGTTGTAAGCCAGGTTTCATGCTTCAGTTCTCTAGATAATTTCATCTTATTGAGAATTTTGCAGAGGGATTTTCTTGTTTTCTCTGTGGCTCAGCTAAAACCAGTGAGTGGAAAATTTTCTCAGATTGGTTTCTGAAGATACTAAATAAATCCTGTATCAACCTAACAGGCAGCTGCTTTTCACTTCTTTTCTTTTATGTTTTTGAACATGAAGAGAAGGTCATATTGATTGCAAGATCACTAAAGAAGGCTAAGCCTTAGCAAGCATCTTTCAAAAATTGGAATGAAATAAAATTGCAAGTAATACTCTAGCATTTGACATATTAAACTGGACTGAATTCGTAACACACTTTAAAAATTGCTTGTTTGACCATTTGGTGCTCTTCCAGGAAATAGACAAGATTATAGAGGATGGTGATCATGACTGGAAAAGAATCAGATGACCCATGAAACACCAACTTGGTGAAAAGAAATCCATTTGCAATACCAGATTGATCTGGCAGGAGAGTGTCACATGAAAACCTGAGTTTCATATTTTGATTATTTTTTTTAAAAAAAATCGAAAGCATTGTACTTATTGAGATGTTTATTCTTTCTAGAAGATTTTAAAAAGTATATTTGTGCTACATAATGTGATAGTAGAAATTTAATATATACCGGTAGTTTTGAAATTAAATTCAGCTTTAAAGGGTTAGTGTTTCTTATCTGGATTCAGCCATTATTTTTTAAAATAATACCAAAAGTGTTTTAGGTGACTATTCTGAACCTGTGATAATAAATGAATACAGAGATGCTAGAAATGGAAGCCTGATTATATAAAAATGTAATACACATTTTTATTCAATAATAAAAACATGATCTTGTTTTGAAGATTTAAGTATACTTTCTAAGGTTCAGTTAATGTTTCATCTCTCTTTGTATATATATCTGTCAATGGTCTATTTAAAGAAGGATTATCAATAAACATTTTATTGCTTTTTTATAATGTACCGGTAATCACGATGTCTTCAATATGTTTTTTTTTTTTTCATTACTAGGTTTGCATCCGCTGGTGATGATGGAATTGTATGTCTCTGGAATGTTCAGGTTTGTTTAGGAAATTAAAAAACGTGTTTATAAAAATATCTGTAGATGCAGACTGAGTGATGTTTAAATTCATGACCTGCTGGAATATAAAATTAGCTATTATTTATAAATTGTATTCCAAAGATTTCTAACAGAAGCATTATTGCAGAAGCAGAAATATAAATTTAAAAATGCATTTTGTAGGTCATAATAAAGAACCCTGGATTTGTGAATGTAATTTACAATTGAGAAGGTGAAGATGAAACAGGCATTTAGATTATCAATATCAATATTTTTGTATATCTGTAGTGTTAAAATATTTGTGCAGAAATGGTTTAATTACATGTTTTGTAATACTGTTAACAAATCAGTGGACTATTTTTTAATTTTATATAACCAGACACTTATGCAATAGAGGTAGTCCTTGAATTATGACAGCAGTAAGGACTAGGATTGAGATAGCTCAGCTATACGATCAAAAAGATCATGTGACTGCATTGCTTAGCAATGACAATCCATGCAGTCCCATTTGTTAACCCCAAGATCTTGGGTTGTTTATCAGGAACCAGAGAGAGTCCCAGGCTGCTGGGGTACTGTGGTGGGGACATTGGAGGAGATTGGGGAAGGCCCTGAAAGGTCTGGCACAGGTGCACACAAGTTGTGAGAGAGAGTGCAATGAGTCACTAATTGCTCTTTGATAATCAGACCATAACTGTGTTTATTACTTTGCTTCAACTTTCCTTTTTCCCCCCACTCTCCCACTGTTTTGAACATTCATCCAGGTGCTGGGATAATTAGCAAGAACGGAGTTATTGTTTGTATTTACATTTATTAGCGAGGAAGAGATTGCAAGAGAGTAAGTAGACACACAATAGGAAATACATATAGAAAGAAATATGCTAGTGCAAACATTCAGAGCAGAGAGCCTAGCTTGTGCATAGCTCTCTGCTCTGAATGCGCCAGGCAAACAGCTGCTGCTAACAGATGTGTGTTCCTCACTGTGTGTCTGCTTACTCTTTGTCATTTCTTTCTCTCCAGTCTCTCTCTTTTGTGAGGGAGGGGGGATAAAAACAGTGGGTCAGGCACAGCAGAACTTGTCTAAAAATATTGCTTAAGGCTTAAGCCATCTCTCCACACTGCAAGGGGGGGGGAATAAAAAAACCATCAGGCACAAGACAATGCATATTAACTGTAATAGCAAATTTGTATCTGAGAGACACATAGGCTGCAAAGGTCCTAATGTCTTGGCCTGGATCACAAACTTACTTTTTCAGCATCATCATATTTTTCAGCACTTTGGAAAGGGTTGCTGCACCAAATCTACTGTACTAATAGATGGCGGAGTAGGTTGAAACAGATCCTTCAACTGTTCCCTTTATGGCTGATGTCAGTTTTTACCTTGCCTTGCTGTTTATTTTGGAAGGCTTTCTGGGCTGCCTATCAGTGGCTGTTGATCCTCGGATATAATAAATATGGAATTTTCTTTCTACTTTTGTACACATAAATGGGCTGCTAGCTATTTCAAAATTAGAAGCATTTTTAAAGTTGATACATGGCTTAATCTGGGTTGTATTGGGTAGAATGAAAAGCATTTGACCATAGAATCAAGCTTCTTTAGAATGCCGGTTTTCTTTTTTTTTCTTTTTAAAAAGCATTTAAAGTCTAAAGTAGTAAAAATAAATGTTGAATTCTGTCCAACTAAATTTAAGAAGTCAGAGCAAAAATTTTAGTTGACCTCTGAGTTCTACGTATCTCTTCATTCTTTCCCATACCTAGCATAAATACAATAAATCATTTTAGTTAATATAAACACAGTAAATCAAATACAATAAATAATTATTTTTTAAAAAATTACCTATTTTGTATTACTAACAGAATTCAACTTTCTAGTATAAGAACTCTGATACATTTTTAGAAAAGGCACTAACATTGTATTTTTGTTGTTGTTGTTAATTGCGAAGTCGTGTCCGACCCATCGCGACCCCATGGACAACGTTCCTCCATGTCTTCCCGTCCTCTACCATTTTCTGGAGTCCATTTAAGTTCACACCTACTCCTTCAGTGACTCCATCCAGCCATCTCATTCTCTGTCGTCCCATTCTTCTATTGCCCTCAATCTTTCCCAGCATTAGGCCCTTTTCCAGTGAGTCCTTCCTTCTCATTAGGTGGCCAAAGTATTTGAGTTTCAACTTCAGGATCTGGCCTTCTAAAGAGCAGTCGGGGTTGATCTCTTCTAGGACTGACCGGTTTGAACGTCTTGCAGTCCAAGGGACTCGCAGGAGTCTTCTCCAGCACCATAGTTCAAAGGGCTCAATTCTTTTGCACTCAGCCTTTCTTATGGTCCAACTTTCACAGCCATACATTGCAACTGGGAAAACCATGGCCTGGACTATACGCACTTTTGTTGGCAGGGTGATGTCTCTGCTTTTTAGTATGCTGTCTAGATTTGCCATAGCTTTCCTCCCCAGGAGCAGCGTCTTTTAATTTCTTGGCCGCAGTTCCCATCTGAGGTGATCTTTGAGCCCAGAAAAATAAAATCTGTCACTACCTCCATTTCTTCCCCATCTATTTGCCAGGAATTGAGAGGGCCGGATGCCATGATTTTGGTTTTCTTAATGTTGAGTTTCAAGCTTACTTTTGCACTCTCCTTCTTCACCTGCATCAAGAGGCTCTTTAGTTCCTCTTCACTTTCTGCCATTAGAGTGATATCATCTGCATATCTTAGGTTGTTGATATTTCTCCCGGCAATCTTAATTCCAACGTTTGATTCATCTAGCCCTGCCTTTCTCATGATGTGCTCTGCATATAAGTTAAATAGGCAGGGCAACAGTATACAGCTTTGCCGGACTCCTTTTCCAATTTTGAACCAATCAGTGGTTCTGTGTCCAGTTCTCACTGTTGCTTCTTGACCCGCATATAGGTTTCTCAAGAGACAAATGAGATGGTCTGGTACTCCCATCTCTTTAAGAACTTGCCACAATTTGTTGTGATCCACACAATCAAAGGCTTTAGCATAGTCAATGAAGCAGAAGTAGATGTTTTTCTGGAACTTCCTACCTTTTCCCATGATCCAGCGCATGTTGGCAATTTGATCTCTAGTTCCTCTGCCTCTTCGAAATTCTGCCTGTACTTCTGGAAGTTCTCGATCCACATACTGCTGGAGTCTAGCTGGTAGGATTTTAAGCATAACTTTACTAGCATGTGAAATGAGTGCAATGGTGCGATAGTTTGAACATTCTTTGGCATTGCCTTTCTTTGGAATTGGAATGTAAACTGACCTTTTCCAATCCTGTGGCCACTGCTGAGTTTTCCAAATTTGCTGGCAAAGTGAGTGTAGCACTTTTACTGCATCGTCTTTTAAGATTTTGAATAGCTCAACTGGAATACTGTCACCTCCACTAGCTTTGTTGTTGCTCAGATTTTCTACGGCCCATTTCACTTCACATTCTAGGATGTCTGGTTCGAGGTCAGTGACCATCTCATTGTGGTTATCTGGGATGTTAAGCTCATTCTTGTATAGTTCTTCTGTGTAGTTTTGCCATCTCTTCTTAATCTCTTCTGCCTCTGTTAGGTCCCTGCCATTTTGGTCCTTTATCATGCCCATCTTTGCATGAAACGTTCCCTTCATATCTCCAATTTTCTTGAAGAGATCTCTGGTCCTCCCTATTCTGTTGTTTTCTTCTATTTCTTTGCACTGTTCATTTAAGAAGGCATTCTTATCTCTTCTAGCTATTCTCTGGAATTCTGCATTCAATTGGGTGTATCTTTCTCTTTCTCCTTTGCCTTTTGCTTCCCTTCTTTCCTCAGCTATTTGCAAAGCTTCCTCAGACAGCCATTTTGCTTTCTTGCATTTCTTTTTCTTTGGGATGGTTTTAGTTGCTACCTCTTGTACAATGTTGCGAACTTCCATCCATAGTTCTTCAGGCACTCTGTCTATCAGATCCAGTTCCTTAAATCTATTTGTCACCTCTACTGTATATTCATCAGGAATATGATTTAGTTCATACCTGAGTGGCCTAGTGCTTTTCCCTACTTTTTTCAATTTAAGCCTAAATTTTGCAACGAGAAGCTCATGATCTGAGCCACAGTCAGCTCCTGGTCTTGTTTTTACTGACTGTATAGAGCTTCTCCATCTTTGGCTGCAAAGCACATAGTCAATCTGATTTCTATGTTGACCGTCTGGTGATGTCCATGGGTAGAGCCGTCTCTTGGGTTGTTGGCAAAGAGTGTTTGTTATGACCATCGTATTCTCTTGACAAAATTCTATTAGCCTGTGCCCTGCTTCATTTTGTACTCCAAGGCCAAACTTGCCTGTTATTCCGGTTATCTTTTGGCTTCCTACCTTAGCATTCCAATTCCCCATGATGATAAGGACATCATTTTTTGGTGTTAATTTTATAAGGTGCTGTAGGGCTTCATAAAACTGGTCAATTTCATCCTCTTCAGCACCAGTGGTTGGGGCATAGATTTGGACTATTGTGATATTGAATGGTTTGCCTTGGATTCGAATTGAGATCATTCTGTCATTTTGGGGATTGTATCCCAGTATTGCTTTTCCTATTCTTTTATTGACTATGAAGGCTACTCCATTTGTTCTGAGGGATTCTTGCCCACAGTAGTATACCTGATGGTCATCTGAGTTAAATTCACCCATTCCTGTCCATTTTAGTTCGCTGATTCCTAAGATGTCGATGTTCAGTCTTGTCATCTCTTTTTTGACTACGTCTAGCTTGCCTTGATTCATGGATCTTACATTCCAGGTTCCTATGGAGAAAAAATCTTTACAGCATCGGACTTTCCTTTCACCACCAGATATATCCACAGCTGAGCGTCCTTTCGGCTTTGGCCCAGTCGCTTCATTCTTTCTGGCGCTACTAGTACTAGCCCTCTGCTCTTCCCCAGTAGCATATTGGACACCTTCCGACCTGAGGGGCTCATCTTCCAGCGTCATATCTTTATGCCTTTTAGTACTGTCCATGGGGTTTTCATGGAAAGATACTGGAGTGGTTTGCCATTTCCTTCTCCAGTAGATCACATTTTGTCAGAACTCTCTGCTATAACCTGTCCATCTTGGGTGGCCCTGCACGGCATAGCTTATAGCTTCATTGAGTTACGCAAGCCCCTTCGCCACGACAAGGCAGTAATCCATAAAGGGGAACATTGTATTTTAGAAAGGGCAAAATGCACTTCATATTGGACATTGAAACATGCATGGTGAAATATACAAATATTTTTCAGATTTTGCTGTAAAAATAGTTACAAAGGAATTGAAAGTCATCATTCTGGGGTAGATTTTCATTCATTCATTCATTCATTCATTCATTCATTCATTCATTCTTGGATTCATTCATTCCTTCACTTTGTACAGCTACTCATCTCACATTTATGAACCCATACAATATCTATGGTATTGCTGAAAAAAATCCTGCCTGAAATGTTGAGAGCTTCTACCACATAATGATGATTAACCTTCCTCAGCTTACTATTATCCAGACATGTTTTCCATCACTTAATGTAATTTTTAGTTACCAGGGTGAACAGATATATAGGAATTGGCTGGGTTTTCTGGCAAATAGCAGCAGGTCAGTGAAGGTTAAGCTAGATGGACCAGTTATTTGCATTGTATAATATCGGTTCTCATTTTAAAATGAATAATATTTGAGTATTCTGATTACTTATATTGTTTCTTCATAACACATGTTTCTGTGTTCATTTAGCACTATTATTATGACATCAAATTTGTTTTTGTTTTCAGACTGGAGAAAAGTTATTTGAGCTACATGCACATACACAAAAAATAACAGCTCTTGCAGCTTTTCCTTTGTCAGATACCTGTGAAGAAAAATGCCACATGATTTTGACAGCAAGTGCTGACAGAACCGTAGTTGTATCCTTTACTTCTTGACCAGAGAAATGTAGAATTGGTCTATGTTGCATAATAAATGGTGCTTACGACTCAATGTTATTACATCAAAGTTTGGGGTTTTAATGAGCAAACTGCTATAAAAGCAATAGACTTTCATCATTTCCACGACAAATTGATATGTGGCTAACAAGGACATTGTTAAGATGCAGTTGTGAAAACCTGGTTTACTCTGCACAAATCCTGTTGGTTATAATTAATAATCTTCAGGTTGAACAATAAAACTCTCAGGAAAAGAGTTTGCATATTTGCACACCAGATGTTTTGTCTTCTCTTACAGTAAGGAAATAAGTTCTACAAATGTCTTCTTCCATCATTTGTGTGGCTCAAGGAAACACTTTTTCATAGGAAATAGTTGTGGGAAATAGAGTCATATCTAACTGACTCCTCCATTTTATGCCTCATTTTTTTATTATAGTTATATAAGATATTTCAGCTGCTATTCTTAGTCCTTAATGATTGAAACCAGGTTTGGGATTGTGACAATGGCAGACAAATTCACAGGGTATCTTGTTTTCATTCCACCGTAAAGGTAAGTAAAACTGAATGTAATTTTTTGTATTTAATTTATTTAGATTTTAATCCTATGCTGTCAGTCTTAAAGCTGCAGTTGTATCAGCTACATACATATTTGTTACATACCATAGTACCCAGCTGCAGATAACAAATTTGCAGGTTTTGGTGTTTGCGTGTGTCTAATCTTAGATACTTTGGGTTCCTTTTTAGATACCTTGAGAGATCAGTGAACCATATATTTTCAATCTTCTTAGTTAGAGCCATTCCACATTACAATAGGATGGATTCCATCACTTTGTCCATTTACAAGAATATTAATCAGTACTATAAATAGCTTCATATATAATCTTGGAAGCTTATGGATCTCAGCCAGTGTATTCGTGATTATTTCTCAAATTATATCTTTGAGATTATGGTAGAAGAGTCCTTTAAATGAACAAATACATGTTTCTATCATTTATTAGACAATTGCACAAAATCTTCATTTAACAACCACAATTGAGACCAGAATCTTGATTGTTGAATGAAGCAGTCATTAACAAGATGCTCACATGTCTGCTTTGTTTAACAACTACAATCCCAGCACTACCAGTTGCAGTCATTAAGTGATCTCCTGGATCTTTTGTATGGGTCAAAAGAGCTGCCTGTCTTTCAGTCTTAGGCTTTCTTGTAGCCACCAAAGGATTTTAGCTTTCCTCTGTGTACCAAAGTGAGATCCTTCAGCGGGCTGCAGGTATGGAGGTGAATATCTTGATGGATTTCAGCTTCCCATTGTCTCCTTTGCTTGCAACCTTCCTGCTGTCTTCTCTATTGACTTTCTGGGAAAGCTGGCAGAAAAGATTGCAAATGACAATCGTGGGGCACTTGGCAATCAGTTGTAAATGTGAGCCAGTTGCCGAATGCCCGAAATGTGGTCATGAGACCAAAGGTGTGTGCAACATTTTATGATAGCCAGAAATGCTTTACAGGCCACAAAGCAGTTTTTACAAGCTGACGTAACTTTGAACAGTTGTTAAACAACTGGTCGTAAGTCGGAGACTGTGGTTCTAAGCTATCTGACACAATGTAGAAAGCAATGTTAGTATTGATCTTTCGTTCTGTTTTACTCTACTCTACTCTACTCTACTCTACTCTACTCTACTCTACTCTACTCTATTCTATTATAGCCCAGCCCAGCCCAGCCACGTAACCATGGAAATTTCCTTGGACAACACTGGCTCCCTCAGCTAAGAAATGGACATGAGCATTGCGCCCTGACATTGCCCCTTAGACAGGGAAAACCTTTACCTTTGAGAAGACACATATTCAACTGCATTTATAATTCAACATGATCTTGAAATGTTAGAGCTTCCTTTCCCCCCTTTTTTTCCTTTCTACTTCATAAACTGCATAAAGGACTGTAAATGATTATAAATGTTACTAGGAAATTGAATATTTTAGTATCTAAATGTTACCAGGAAATTGAATGTTTTAGTTTGTAAACCTGATAATTTTATTTGAAAACATACTTCAAAAATATTACATATTATATATCTGATTTTGTAATTTGTAGTGTTTGACTGTTCTTCAAAGAATGGATATATGGCTTTCTGGAGGAAGTGATTTGTGTGTTTGGAACCGAAAATTAGACCTCTTGTGTAAAACAAGTCATCTAATTGATGCAGGTAAACAAAATTTAAATAGATTATTAAACAGTAGAATGAATCTATATAATGTTATAACGTTAATTTGGCAAAATCTCATTGATTCTAAAGATAAAATATATTAAAACTTAATGAAGGTTAAAATGGTTACTAGTAACATTTTATACAGGATATTTATATATTGATATGTAAGATTTTATATAAATTATGTTAAGTATACAAACTGCATTTTAGAAGACAAAACTAATATTAAATAATACATTATATGCTTAAAAGTACAAAAAATCCTACACGTTACTAAAGCAAATATTAAATTTTAATATTTTATTTAAAATAAGATATTAACAAAGGAAGGAGAGAGAAATGAAAAACATTGAATAAAAATATAAGTACAAAACTGAACAACCAAGCAAAGGAAATTTATATTATGTATACACACACACACACACACACACACAAAGAGAGAGAGAGAGAATTAAAATTTTAGATTATTCAAGTTTTGAAATTTATAGTTTTGAATTTTCTCATTCTTTTTAAAGAATGAATTAAATATGGATCATACTGGTCTTGATTTTCCTTCAGTATAAATTAATTTGAAAAGTGGGAATTGATAAATTATATATCCAAAGTTTTTCATAAATTGAGAAACTTATTTATTTGTTTGTTTATATTTCTTGTTTCTAGAGTGCCCATCTCCTCAAATTTCAAAATTTGGAGATATAATTTAACAAGCAATTGACATATTTGATCCCTGGCTTTCGACAAGCATCTACTAGTGTATATATTTACTAGTGTCTATGGAACTACAAATACACATACTCATATCAAATTTATTGATTTCAAATATATTAATTTTTGTTTCTAAAATGCAGGTAAAAAAGGAATACAGCATGTTAATACCTGTTAGAATGTATTTTCTTAATGGACACATTTAGGAATGTAAGAGGAACAAAATCTTACTTGCATTTCCCATTGTTTCCCATCATTTGTTGTTTCTTTTCATAACCCAATCCATGTTGCTTATCATCCTTGATTGAGACATTTTCTTCTTTGATTATTCTTTGAATGGCTTATTGTTTGTTTCTTTATTGCTCCTGTTTATCTGACACTGATTCCTATTTACCTGGTTGTTTATTAGATATGTGATGGGATCTGACGTATCAGATAGAGCTGTTGGCCTCTTTCCTTGACTTTGCTTGTTTGTAATTGGAGATTTTCTCAGTGCATCTGCTAATGACTTGTTGGCATGCCAAGCATCTAGGAATTAGTTTGCATTCTTGGATCTGGCTCGGTCTAAAATTGCTACTATGTAGAAGAAACAGGTAGGAGATTGGCTGAACATATCCATAAATGTGAATTAACAGAAGACATGATGAAAACTCTTTTTAATTTCACAATATACTGACAATTTCAAACACAGTTTGATTTGGAAACTGGACATTTTGACCATGCCAAATGTAAACATGCAGAAGATTCCTAGAGACTAGCACTGTGTGAAGCCTGACATATATGTCTGGACTGAGACATGTATGTTTTGGTCTGGACATGGACTAGAATACAAATGTTCCAAGAATAAGTGTTTTTACATGGGAGAACAAAAAAAAAATCCAAGGTCATTGGTAGTATGCAGTAGCAAAGATAAGCAGGAAAAATAAAATGCTGGGAATATTGGGAGATGGATGGACCAAATGGGATATCCACTGCCAATGCCTTTAACTTCAAGTTCAGCATGTCCAAACTGCCTTCCCATTTCCCCAGTTTTCCAAGTGCTTGCCTTTCTGTAGCTCCCTTTATTCTGGTGTCCTTGGTTTCAAGTGCAACATAAGAAAAGATAGGGAATGAAAGGCATTTGGCTAATTAGCACATGGACCAGCCCACAGACCATTCAAGGAAAGATAGAAGAGATGGAGAAAAAACACCAGTCTTGCCTTACTCTGCTTATGTGATTACTCTGGATTTTCTTTCAACTGAAGCACAAACCCACCAATTCGGGGGGAGGAGGGTTTGGTTTTGCTGAACTACACTATGTCCAGCACAATTTGGCAGAACTGCTGAACATAGCAATAGCAATACCAGTTAAACTTATATACCACTTCACAGTGCTTTACACCCCTCTCTAAGCGGTTTACAGAGTCAGCATATTGCCCCCAACAATCTGGGTCCTCATTTTACCAACCTTGGAAGGCTGGAAGGCTGAGTCAACCTTGAGCCAGTGAGACTCAAAATGCCAAACTGCTGGCAGCTGGCTGTCAGCAGAAGTAGCCTGCAGTACTGCATTCTAACCACTGTGCCACCACAGCTCTTAAATATAGTATTTGTTTCAAGTTTGAACACATTTTCTGCTTCATGCACACCTCTAGCTATATTCAATAAGTCCTTTCAATACTAGCCATTGTCAGAAAATCTGTTGATAAAAAAATCAGAATATCTTTCATGGGGTGTCTTTGTGTTTTATCTCTTACAGAGATAAAAATTGTTTTGCATAACTTTTTTTTCATGGCTCTGTAAATGTTCCTAAGAAGACCAAACATTGGAAATCATATATCAGCTGATTTAAATAGCCCTCTGAGAGTAGATACTAATTTCCTATTTGTTCTACTTTCCCCCTTCTTACTAAAGACATCACTGCTATGATTGAATTGCCGAAAAATTGTGTGGCAGCAGCTATTGGCAAAGAATTGAGTAAGTATTACTGTAAATCAGAGGAGTACCAGCTCTTGTGGGCTGAGCACTGCATTTGATCTTTGAACGGCTTGAGCTGGAATCCACATTTCACATTTCAGACAGTTGATGGAGCCAGGATAAGAAATGGAGTTTAACTTAATTAAAATTTATTATAATTAAACATAGTTAAATATAGGTAAATTGATAGTTCACAAGAATGGAATAATTTTTCTCTTCTGCCATTCAGATTTATGTGTGGTTGTACACTCCTGCTATAAAAAGGTATAGAGAGTAAGGAAGATGACCTTATGAAGATAGGAAAGCTCCAATAAGTCGTAAAACATTGTGTATGTCCAGATTGTCCAGATTCAGAAGCAGCTTGAACAGATTCCTCCTTAGAAGACAGTGGTTCTCAACCTTTTTAATGCCGCGACCCCCAACTGGTTGTAAGTCGAGGACTACCCAACTGGTCGTAAGTCGAGGACTACCCAACTGGTCATAAGTCGAGGACTTTCCCTGCACGGGAGCGCCATGCATGCGTGGTGCCGCCCCCTGCGCCGGCCAAAGCGTAGCTGGCAAGCGGCAGAGATGGAGCCGGCCGACCACCGGCTGGGCCACCAGCTGGCCCAGCCCAAGGGAGATAAGGCACCCGCCGGGCCCCACGCGCGCCAGCAAACCTCCCTGCGCCCGCCGGCCTCCCATCTCCCTCCCCTGGCCCTCTTTTACTTACATTTTTAGTAATTGCTCAGCAGGGAGGGGTGGAAACTTCCAGACAGCTCGCCTTCGCTGCAGACAACTTGCAGCACCGTTTGCAGAATGTGACTTTTGGCAGGCTCAACAGGGCAGAGACAGCCTGGACAATTCCTATTGGCTTTTGAAAGCCAATAGAATTAGACCCTATTCAAGAGAGTCTATTCTATTGGCTTTCAAAAGGCAATAGAATAAAAGGGAGTAGCACAGCTAAGGAAAAGGGAAAAAATGGCGGACTGCGTTGTTTGGCGACCCCCGTGAAATGGTCATTCGACCCCAAATGGGGTCGCGACCCACAGGTTGAGAACCACTGTTATAAGAGGACTAGAAAGTACAACATATTCAAACTTGAAGATTTTGCTACTATAGCCAGTCTTAATAAAAGTAATTTTAGCGTTCCTGTGGAGTTGATTTCTTGATCTGGTCTGACTAGTGGGACTGACATCAATCTTGGAAGCCACTTCCAAACATCTTAATGTTCTTGACTTAGTGTTTTACCCTGGTTAGCTTGGCAATGTAGCTTGTATAGCTTCATGAAGTTATCTTCTTTACTCTCCACAGTAGGGAAAATCTTATTCAGCGTTTTATATGTTAAAATGTGTTTATCAATATTAGAATGATGATAGTATTTTCTTGTGCATGTAGTCCTCAAATTACAACAGTTCATTTAGTGACTGTTTGAAGTTACAATGTCACTGAAAAAAGTGACTTTTGACCATTTTTCACATTTATGATCGTTGCAGGATCCCCATAGTCACATAATCAAAATTCAGATGCTTGACAACTGACTCATATTTATGATCGTTGCAATGTCCCAGGGTCATGTGATCATCTTTGGCAACCTTTTGATAAGCAAAGTCAATGGGGAAGCCAGATCCATTTAACAACCATTAGATATCTAATATTGGATATTATTGCTTTGACAAAATATGCAGAACTATCTGGTATTTTTAGAGTTAACTTAGATGATGCTGGGAGGGGAGGAGAAAGATAAGGAACGCGGGGGGCTACAGAACGGAAGTGAACCTTTGCCCTTCGGGCTGATTGGAGAATGTGATTTATGATCGCAAAATAGGGGAGGGGAATAGGCTGGAATGTTATGTGCAAGGAAGGGGAATTCAGATCTTGGCATCCATCCATGTCGTGCCAACACATTGTTACACAAAATAAAGACTTTTTAGAATAAACAATGCCTGGAAGTTCTTTGAAGTATTTCATTAGTCGGAACCATGACATATGTTATTAATTTAACAAGTGCATTGATTCCTTAAATGTGGCAAAAAAGGTCATAAAATTCACTTAACAAATTTCTTGCTTAGCAACAGAAATTTTGAGCTCAATTGTCATAAGTTGAGGACTACTGTAGCTAACTATAGTTATGAATTGTGATACAAATGTTTAGATATCTAATTCTTTCACTGAAATCAAGGAAAGGACCCTAGATGATTTTTGGTTTTTTAACAAATAGTGAGTGCTATTCTCCACAAGAAGTATAGCAACATTGTGGTAATTATAAAGATAAATAATGTTATTAAAAGCTATTGAATTAGAAGTTTTAATGTTTTTATTGTTTTAATGGTTTTTACTGTTTTAAAATATTTTTAAGATTTTAATTGTAATAATATGTTTTTGAATTGTGAGCCACCCAGAGTTTTTTGCTGAGATGGGTGGCTGTAAAAATCAAATAAATAAATAAATCTGTGCAACATACAAATAGCTTAGATTTAAAATTTCAAAACATTTTCTCTTTATTTTCAATTTTAAACAATTTTAAGCAAATTCTGGAGATACATTTTCAATAGTAATTACTCAATCTGGCCTTTGAAATAACTGCCTGTCTTTTTGGTATTTTTTTTAATTATAGTTTGCATGCATATACTTCATTTTTATTATCCCCAAGCATCTTTGAATCAGATCTGCAGCATACTGTACTGGGAGATAATTTTGTAGCATCTCTATGATATATAATCTCTATGGTAATGGAATGGTATATCCTGGAAAAGAGGATTATGGGCTAAAACCACCACAAACATGTTGCTGATGGGAAGTAAAGAACAGTATTTCAGATAATATAGTTTCATATGCTTTAATAAAGTTTTTTTAACATGACTTTTATCTTCCAAGTAATTCTAAGATTGAAAGCTTCCAGAGATGGAACCGAATGGGATGTGTCTGAAATAAAACGACTTATTGATCACCAGGATAATATTGTGTCATTGGTCAGTGTCAGTGGTAAGCTTGTTTCCAGGTTTATTATTTGTAATGATTGGTACAACGCTCATTACACATTACATATTTTCATAACTATCTTCTACCTTTGCCAACTGGAGTTTACATACCTCTATAAAGCTTTCCCTAATAAAGTTAGAAGTTTTTGTTTTTAAATAGTCCAAATGTCTATACTAGAAATATGGGGAGGGGGGCAGGAAGGAGTAAGATGGCACATTCTTGTAGGCTGACTTGGGAAAGAAACAGAATCTTTATATTGTATAAAGATGAGTCTTTATGATACACTAAGAGACAACATAGAATTAGAATAACAGAGTTGGAAGGGACCTTGTAGGTCATCTAGTCCAACCCCCCTCCCAAGCAGGAGACCCTACACCATTTCCGACAGATGGCAGTCTGGTCTCTTGAAAGCTTCCAGTGATGAAAGTCCCACAACTTCTGAAGGCAAGCTTTTTCTTTAGTTAATTGTTCTCACTGTCAGAAAATTTCTCCCTATTCACTGTCAGAAAATTTCTTATTTATTTATTTATTTATGAGACTTATATACCGCTTTAAGTGCGAGCACTCTCTAAGCGGTGTACACCAGTAAGCAATGTATATATATATTTTACATTGCCCCCAACAATCTGGGTCCTCATTTTACCTACCCCGGAAGGATGGAAGGCTGAGTCAACCTTGAGCCAGTGAGATTTGAACTGCTGACCTGCTGAACACAGTCAGCTAAAGTGGCCTGAAGTACTGCACTCTAACTGCTGCGCCACCTCGGCTCTTCTTATAATTCCACTTAGTAGAAAGTTATGATTCCTATTTTAGAGAGATGTAGGTAACAGCAAAGTAAAATTAAGCTTCTAGGAAATATTTTAATGGTTGGTTTCAGCAAGCCATGGTTAGTCTAAATTTCATCAGTTGCCAGTCAGTAGCCTGCAGTAATTGAACATTTTACTATGTTGTCTATGATTTTACTAAATCCCCCTTTTTGGACAGGATTATACTCTTTACGAACATTTCTCGTTATAAAACATAATGTTGCCCATTTTTATCCAAGTGTTTGAATAAAGAATAGATTTCTCTTTATCAATATCTTTATTATTTTGATATCTAGATTTGATTTTTGCGACTGGCTCTCATGCTGGTGAAATGATTGTGTGGGATTCATTGGACTGGACAATGCGAGCCTATGAATGCAGTTGGGATGCATCTCTTCATGTGAACCCCCAGCAAGAAATAAAATTATCACAAAGTCAAAGTGAAATGTCAGTTCAAGATTTAACTTCTGATAATGAGGTAAAATAATAGTATAAAAGTTATGTAAATTACATTTTTCCTTGTTAATAAATGATACCTTATTACATAATTGGATTATTTTTCAGTTGTAAATTATGCTCAACCCAACTAGAAATACTGTTAATCAGTCCCAAGCAAAGGGTCTGTGGATAAAGTAGTCTTAAGTTTGAAAATTTCCTTTTGCCATTGTAGATGAAAATCATCCATACATGCAAATGGAGGACTTCATTTCAAACTGAAATAGAATATACTTTAATGTATGTGGTACAATATTAGTAGTAGTGAGGTACATAAGGATATAAAAATATAATTTGTGAGTGAAATCCACATTATTGAAATGAATTCTCATTCAGAAAAAGTTAAATTCTGGGTGTCGTTTGACGTTTCTATTCAACACTTCCAGGGTTAAAATAAAGTGTTGAACAGAAACGTCAGACAGGACCCAGAATTTAAATTTTTCTGAATGAGAATAAGTCAGAGGATATATAATGCAATTAGGAATACTATGCATGTTTTAAATTCCACGAAGGAAGGGAAAATGTACATGCACTAAATACATAAAAAATGATAACTTCCTTCCCAATTAAGTAAATTTTTGTATAATTGAGGGACCGCCTTGGGTGCACATGAGGAGAGATATTGGCCAATTACTTTTTTAAAAATGTAAAAGCCTCAAATGCTAAACACCACATGTTTATGGCAGTCTGCCTTTAATATAGCTAGTCCTTGACTTACGACCACAATTGAGCCCAAAATTTCTGGGGCTAAGCAAATCATTTGTTAAGTGAGTTTTGCCCCATTTTATGACCTTTCTTGCCCCAGTTACTAAGTGAATCATTGCATTTGTTAAATTAGTAACATGGTTGTTAAGTAAATCTGGCTTCCCCAATGACTTTGCTTGTCAGAAAGTCACAAAAGGTGATTCTGTGACCCTGGGACTCTGCCACTGTCATAAATATGAGTCAGTTGCCAAGTGTCTGAATTTTGATCACATGACCGTGGGTATGCTGCAGTGGTCGTAAGTGTGAAAAAATGGTCATAAGCCACTTTATTCAGTGGTGTTGTAACTTCGAACAATCACTAAATGAACTGTTGTAAGTCGAGGACTATCTGTATATAGAACACAAAATGCTGGAAATACCAGGAGTTTTATCCGCAGTCCAAAAGAAGAGTTTTAAAAAGAAATAGTTCTGTTTGGTTTTTAGTAGGGGGGGAAGAACATTAGGTTCAGAGACTATCAGTTCTGTTCTTAAATGAAAGTGACCTTTGCAACTGCTTGTCCAAGTGCAGCCAGTTGGATAGATTAGGAGATCATAGAGGGTGAAAAGACATAGTTGTGTATTCAGAGATGCTGCAATAAAACCTTATTTTCAATGAGGGTTTCTTTTCATAAGGTTGTATATATGAATGGAGTTTCTCTTACAAACAATTGAATCTATTTTTATCATCCTTTTTCTCATCCTTGCTTGATTCTCCTCCAATGAATTTTTAATTTAACTTTCCCTCATTTTTCCTCTTTCATTTTTTCTCACTTGAACACATTCTAAATATTGTTTAGAGACAAACATTGTTCAATCCTAATTTGTTTCCTACTCATCTATTGTTTCTTTGGTCCTATAATCATTCATTACTTTTTATTAATTTTTATTTTGTTAATATTTTTCATGTGCAATATTTTCTTCCTGTCTTTTGCCTTGTAAGCACGTCTTTCTACCACCAATCCTAGTCTTATTTTGTCTCTGCTGATAAATTTGTGAGTGTTAGTATATTTCACAGTGTCACCACAAAAGTGAGAGCATAGGAAGAAGGACTCTCAATCAGATTATGCTGAGAAAGGGTTTTAGAAATGGCTGCTGTCAGAAGACCTTGGAAACTGAAAACTTCTAAACTGATTTTAATAGTCTAAATTATGCCATCTTGAGAAGACCTCCCCCCCCCCTCTCTCTGTGTGTGTGGAAAGAAAGAGAGAGAGAATTTGGCAGGCTTTATCCCCCCAAAATAGCATAATTTCCCTGCACATTTATCCTATTCTGATTAAAATACAAGCATTATAGGCACTGTTAGAAATGTATTTATTTCTTTTCGTCAGTAATGGGAGGGTAGATTTTCACTTACCTGAATAAATAGCAGAATTGGGAATTAATCAAGATGAAATATCTTCCAAAAACCCATAAGATAGTATCTGGCTGTAGTGGTGGTTGTTCGCTCTTTAAACAGCCCGTTAGATATGACTGATAGTTTAAGAGGTGGGACTGGCAGGATAGAATCTTAAGGTAAATAGGAAGGTATTTGCTAGTACAAGTCTATAGTTTATAGTAGGAAAGGAGGGATTGGGATTAAGGGCATGTGTATGTCATAAAATTTATGAACTCATTTCTTATTTGGGAGTATTTTAAAAAGAAGGAAACAAAATAGGATACATTTTTTCCTTGTCTTTCCACACACTCCTAGAGTTCAGGTATATATGTAATACTTGTCTTTGGGTCTGGCACCCTCAAAACTGATTCCTTTACTGCTAAAGCCATAGAAAATGGCCCTATATTAAAACATACAATTTACCCTTCCAGCCCAGTATAGTTAATGCATATCTGGCATGATCCTGTAGCCTTATGTAGAATTAAATATCTACTGCTTGACCCTGTTAGTATATAAAGGATGTTGGGTGGGAAGTAAACAAGATGCTATTTGTTCACTTGCAGATTCTTTCTACTCTTCTGTGATATCTTGAGCAAAAGGTTTGGCCTCTTTTCCAGGTTAGCAGAACCCCTAATACCAGCAAACCACCTCATGCAAAAGATGGCTCAAATGGGAACTTACATTGCAAATCCTCTTGTATAATTGAAAATCTGAAAAATATTACAATGATTTCCATGAATGCTTCAGTTTCTCATAATGGTTTAGCATTTTTAGAGGTATTTTTATTTATAGGTGTATTTCTGCCATGAGAATCTGGGAAAGAAAACTCATTAAATTGCAGTAAATCATATATTTAAATAATATATTTAATAAAATAGAGTCAGTAATAAGTGTGAGTGCTCCATCACTGGAGGTTTTAAAGAAGAGATTAGGCAGCCATTTGTCCAGAATAGTGTAGGGTCTCCTACTTGTGTACGGGATTGGGCTAAAAGACCTCTAAGGTCCCTTTCAACTTTGTTATTTTGTTAAATAATTAAGTTGCTGGCAAAGACCTAATAAAATAGCTTTTATTGTTTTGAGTCCTTCGAAATTTGGTGCCCAATAAATTTCAACAACAGTAATTATAATACCTGAAAAAAGTGTTTTTATGTTTCCTATTAGATGTAATGAATAGTTTGATTATTCTATTAATATAAACTGAAGGCTAATATATTTTAATAAATATAGTAGTTCTAAATCGGGATGGTACATAGTTCTTTCCTTCTTACATATTTGACTTAATTAGAATAATTGGAAACTTTTTACACAAAATATGTATCTTTTGTTAAGATGTTTTATTGATTATTTTTTCCCAGTGTGTTTTTGCTGCTGTTGGTAAAGGGATATATGTATATAACCTTCAGATGAAACGTGTGATTGCCTTCCAGAAGACTGCTCATGATTCCACTGTCCTGCATATTACCAACATTCCCAAAAGGTGCAGTTTACATTACGTATTTCATGCATTCTTTACTTTTAGAATGATGAACAGGGACATGCTTAATATTTATGCATTTTCTCTCTTAAACTTTCCTTACATCGAATTATATCATAGTCTGTTTGCAGGCAACCTAATCTTTAGCCCAAACAACCTCTTTTTAAATTTAAGATAATTTTTTAAAAAAATATTAACAAAGCAACAAAACTGTTGGATCTGTGAGAATCCCTAGTTTTTATCCTTTGAGCTAGCATAGCTCCACACAGGACAAGCAAAACCTGATAGTCTTTCACAGACATTTTTTTTCCCTCCTCCATTCTGGTTTAAATTGGATTATCCTATTTGTGATGAAACCACTCGTTTCGGCCTTAATGGTATGGGTGTGTTTTTTTAAACTTGAATGGTTATAAGCTGCCTAGACTTGTGTTGATGAAACAGCACATTATGTAAGTAAATCAATAAAAGCAGTTCTAGAGTTCACTACTTTTTAAAAAAGTAGTGTCAACTGATTTTGTACAGTTGTGCAAATATGCTTCTTCACAACTATTTGACTTATTCTTATAGGAAATTAATATCTTGTTCAGAAGATGGTAGTGTTCGTATGTGGGAATTACATGAAAAACAACATCTTACAGCTGAACCTGTTCCATCAGGTCTGTATACCAAAAAATAGAATTAATTGCATAAAAATGAGTTTGATTAGCTATAATTATCTACTTCAGAGTCCCATTTATAATAGTAAAATGTTCTTCTGTCCTTTCATTATTAGTATTTATGAAAATTTTGGAAGCAAAGCAGATCCTTTTTAATTTGAATCTAGCCAATATTTTGTTTTCATTTTAGAAAAAAAATAAGTATACATTGCTTTTAGCAGAAAAGTACACATGCTCTCTAAATGGAGCAATATTTCTCATCTTAAGAATTGCATTCAATCCTGGAGTCACTGTGTGGGTAAAGTAGAGCTATTCCTTTTGAATAAGAAACTTATTGCTATATTATAGCCTTGTATAAAAATAGGTTACAATGGTGTGGCTTTTTTCATAGATTGTCTTGGAATGGCAAGAATACATTTCATCCCATTAAGTTTAATGAATAGCTATATGAATTAGACGTATGGTTGTTTCAGCCAAAGGGTAAATACCAATCTAGGGGGGACATGATAGCACTGTTCCAATATCTAAGGGGCTGCCACAAAGAAGAGGGGGGCAACCTATTCTCCACAGCACCCAAAGGCGGGGTGGAAGACACAATGGGTGGAAACTAATTCAAGAGAGAACCAACCTAGACTAAGGAGAAATTTCCTGATAGTTAGAACAGTTAATCAGTGGAATGACTTGCCTTCAGAAGATGTAAATGCTCCAACGCTGGAAGTTTTTTTTAAAAAAATTGGACAACCATTTGTATGAAATGGTATAGGATCTCTGCTTGTGCTGGGTGTTGGACTAGAAGACCTCCAAGGTCTCTTCCAATTCTGTTATTCTATTATTCTGCTAAAAGTAGTCAAAATCTATGTATTTAAAAGTGCCAATTCAAGTTATTACTGGAACTTTCAAGCAATGGAACTTTCAGTTCCAAAAATGTCCCACATTAGTGAGGCACTGGTATCCAGAGATACCATAAATTTGCCTTACATCCAGTTACATATTTAACTATGCCTTTCAGATAGCCCCTTATTTAGAAATAATAATAAGAATAACAACAACAATAATGGCAACTATCAGGTTGTTTTAACAGAAGCTAGGTTAAATGCCTTTTCCTCACTGGCTGAAACATAGATTTGAAGAGAATACCTTTTGCAAGAGGACTTTGCATTTGCAGCAGCAAAGTGGTGGAGTTAGTGAAAATTAATCTGGCCTTTACAAAAAAACCAAGTCAAGTTTTATATGATAAGTCAAGGTTTATATAAAAACCAAGGTTGATATAACTATGATTACCTCAGGCTCTTGTGCTAAAGTTATGACACAACTGTTTGGAAGGCTCTGGCAGTGGCTGTTGAACTAAGGACACAGAGAGTAAATTAAAGTAGAATGGACTTATCTTAGCTACATTTTTATCAATTTATTGTGGCTGCATATTTTATGGCTCAAAAATGTATATTGTTTAATGTAAATAGCTGTATTATTTATAACTGATTTCATTCAATGTTGGGTCTATTGTTCACAATAACTGTTAGCATTTAATTATTTAGCTTATTCCAAACCATGTGATCTGAATTAGATATTTTTGTTCTTGCATATAACATAATTATGATTACATAATATTTTGAAGTGAAATTTAGTCTTCAGTCACTGTGACTGACAGCTCACCCTCTATACATAGGCAATTGCAAGAATGGATGCAAATAAAATAAATGCCAAGGTATTCAACTAAGTTTTTGATTATCAGATTTTGGGTTTGAACAGAACAGAAAATGTTTGGTGGCTAGACATACAATTCCTTTTTTAAAAAAACATCTTTTCTTTGTATTCCAGGTTTTTTCAATATCTGGGGATTTAGTAGGACAAACAAGCAAGCAAATCACACAGCTAAAAAGGCACCAGAGAGTGCTACTATTTTTTCCCTTGACCTTACTGGGGATCTGATTGGACACTCTGCAGCTGTGCAGGTTTGTTGGATCTAGAATAGCAGATACCAGAAGTTGTTTTTGTATGGTGGCTACTTTTTAAGATAAATGTTACCTTGGCTTTAGGGATATTTTTTTGTCCTGAGATCATTTTATAGTTGATCCTATTCCTGCATTGGTGTAGGAAAAATGTGGCAAATGTTCAATAACTATGTATGCAATCACATATTTCATTTTGCCATGATCATGTTTAAAAGGTTCCCTAAAAACTGTGATGGTGAAATATGCAGTATGCTTGCACAGTCATTTCTGTCTATGACGATTTATTTATGAAGTAAGTCTTTAAAAATGGATTCTTAAGAATTTCTTTTATTTAGTGGGAATGCAGGTAGTTGTCAATTTACGACCACAATTGCCAAGTGCCCAAATTGTGTAGGAGTGGTGTGATAGTCATAACTTCAAGAATAGGTCATAAATCACTTTTTCCAAGGGTGTCGTAACTTTAAATTATCTTTAAATGAATAGTTTGTCCAGAACTATAGTCAAGAGCTATCTGTATACTGGTAGTCCTCGACTTAAGATCGCAATTGAGCCCAGAATTTCTGTTGTTAAGTGAGACATTTGTTAAGTAAGTATTGACCCATTTTGCGACCTTTCTTGCCATAGTTGTTAAGTGAATTACTGCAATTGATAAGTTAGTAATCCGGTTGTTAAGTGAATCTGGCTTCCCCATTGACTTTGCTTGTCAGAAGGTTGTAAAGGGTGATCACATGTCCTTGGGACACAGTAACAGTCATAAATATGAAGCAGTTGCCAAGCATCTGAATTTTGATCACATGATCTTGGGGATGCTGCAAAGGTTGTAACTCTGAAAAATGGTCATAAACTATATTATTCAGTGCTGTTGTAGTTGAACGCTCACTACACAAACTGTTGTAAATCAAGGACTACTTGTATATCATTTTTTAAAAATTACCTATTTATGTCCACAGTTTCATTTTGTGGATTGATACCAATCTATCTTCAGCTATTTGTCTATATTTAGAGTTATACTGAAATTTGCTATATGTTTAATTCATTTGATATTCAGCTTGCCCAGAATTCTCAGATATTAATTATTACCATTCTTTGCATTTTATTTAACTTTTGTTAAATGACACTTTTATCACGCAGGCGTAGTAGTATATTTAAATTAAAAAATACATTCAGATTTAATCAAAATTGAAACAATAATTTCACACAATGCTATTTACATAACATTAATATACCAAAGATAGAATAAGTATATATCATTGTCTTTTTCATATAAAGATGTGGGCAAGCTGTTCTAATTTGATTGCATTTTGGTAATTTGGCAGTTACTTCATATGACATTTTGGATTTATTTCATAAAAAATGTGAAGGCCTATTATGATATGGGAATGTTTGTACAGTGTCTTGTACAATGAGGCTACAAACCTCATGCAATGTAATCAAGCCTTTTACTATATCTCAAATAATTTTTTAGATCTTGACCTTTATGTTTACTTTTGGAATTATCATTTTATTATTTATAGTTTGGTTGGATGTTTTGAAGATAAATCTTGAACGTGTACATTACTATTCATTACTTCACTACTATTGCAATGAACATTTACAATTTTGTAAAAGTACTTGTTCTGCCTAGTTTTATTTATTAGGAATGTTTCTGACATGTGATAGTTGAGTACATTATTGTGATGATTTTTTTAATTGCAGATGTTCCTTTATTTTGGTGAGCATGGCCTAGCAACATGTTCTGCTGATCACCTTATTATTCTATGGAAAGATGGAGAACGAGAGTCAAGACTGCGCAGCTTAATATTATTTCATCAGTTGGAACAAATTGAAGATTTGCACTTAAGGTGTGAGATGAAGTAATGTATAAAATACAAACAGGCTGTTTATATTAAATATTTAAAATAACTGTGGGTATAATTTTATGTTTGTTTTAAAAATGTATTTAAGGGTTGTTTTTCCTTACTGAATTCGTCCGTAAGAATTTGAGGAACCAGCACTATTAGTTTCACACAGAAACCGAGTTTTGGTACACAGACAATTCTATTTAGCCCACAATGCCTTAATCGGGAACGTTGCCAAGTGTTGGATTTTTCACTAGATAAATACACCAAGGTTCTGATGGTGCCTTCAAGCTGTTCCTTACATTTCCCTAAAGACAGGTAAAACAAATATATAGTTTGACTTCAATCACTAGTTACTAGATACTGCCCTTTGCCAGATCCCAGGAAAAGCAAAATTTCATTTAAGGAATGGCAGATATGAGTATCTAATGTCCCAAAAACCTTTTTGACCAAATTCAGATTGTTGTACAGCCCTATTAGACACTAGATATTAGAATGGCATATTTTCTTGCCAAGAAATAGCATTTGATGGTAAATAATAGAAGCAATCAACTGGTATTTCATTTTGAAGGCCTTGCTTTGCTCTAATTTAACATACAGCATAACAAATACACTTACTGTGATTTTATGCCAAATGTTGAGATTCTGGCCAGACAAGTCTTTAGTGAATTTCTGATTTGTGAGTTTGAAGGATCCTCTCTGTCAGGAAGTAACAGTTTAAGATCTATGGATTTTCAAGCTATTCTTTCCCTATATAGGTTAAACTGAATGGTAAGGCAGATTTCTATAGAGAATTGATTAGAGCTTTAGAAATAAGTTGTAGATTTGTGCAAAATAAATCTTTTAGGCAAAGAATTTCATTGATTTTTCAGCTCAAATATTTTGAGAAAATAATGTGGCCTATATTTGTTTTTCAAAGTCTATATTATTTAGGAGAGTTTGTGAGCAAAAACGTTATTGTGCAAATTAGTAGAAGTATGCTGAAACATACAGGTTCAAAGACAGCTTTGATGAGGAATTCTGCATGTCAAAATTCTTTGCTAACAAAGAACTGCAAGTAAACAGAGAAGTGTAGGATTCTTGAAACTCAAGGCTTTTGTAATATGTGGCATATTTGCATTATTCTAGTCTTTGCTTATTATTTTGTGATTGATAAACTGAATCATGTAAATGCGTGAAAATAAAATTGGGCATGTATGTAAAGATTTGAATTCAATTTTTATTTCACAAGTGAGAGTAGCTGTTGAGCAGAGTTAATACAGAACACTTCCAGTGAAAGCAAAATGTGATCTTCAATTCCCCCCCCCCCCCGGAGAAAAAGGGCCTTTATTTCTTTTAACACGTTTCACTGTTTTGGACAATATTCCCTATCATTTTTTTCTGAAGCAATTGGAAAAGGGAAGGATTCGCCTCCTGGATCAAACCCATTCCAAAGAAAATTTCAACTAAGGCTTTATGAGTAAAAGTTAATTAAAATTTAGTCAGATATAGTCTTTGATAGAAATACATAATAGCAATGATGAATTCTGCAGGAAATACAAAATTTTTAAATACAACGTAGCACTTTAATACATAGCAACCAAAGTTAGATCCTTTTACAGTTTTAACAAAAATATAGCTTTTGTACATTTCTCAGCATGGGAATTATGAGAATATCATACAATTTTACATAACTTAATACAAAACATTGAAAAATGTTGGCACATTCTTTAGGCTACAATCATTGTCATTTTTCAGTTCACTTTTAATTTTCTCTGACTGTACAAAAGAGAAACAGTCCTTTTTAATGGACAGTATACTACACTATATTAAATGTCAATTTTTCAAGAGCTTCTTATAAAGCACAATATAAAATATTAGTTAAGTAGAATAATGTTTGAGTAATAGCCAAGTTAAGTGAAGATTCTCTAAGCTCATGAGCTTATTTAAAGAATGCTTCTATTTTAATGAAAACTAGAAATCACAGTATTGAAAAAAACCCCTCAATTTGTTAGAAATAGCTCCTATGTGGTCTCAATTTAAATCAATGGCAGTTGTTTAAAAGCAGACTTTTCATTCATTTTCCAGTGCAAGCCCATCATGTTTTCCACTATGTTTAAAATAAATGTAAAAATATTTGTGCTTTGGCATCTAATGTAAAAACTTCATACTTGAATGAGAAAGTTACATTCAGTACATGAATCACATCATTAGGGCTACATTATTTTAGTTTTTTAAGTACATATTTTTAATATTAGAGATTTCTGCATTCAGCATATAAGTGGCTTATGTTCTTAACACTAAGGTCTTTAGAGTAATTGCTATGGCTGCAATCCAGGACATCAAGGCACTGGGGTTTCCTATCCCTCATAGAGGGATGAGCATCCATTTCCCTTCTCTAAGAAAGAAGGTTGGAGGCCTTTGTATGGGTGTCAATTCTGGAGATTTTCTATCAATATGGCTCATATATTACATAATATATAAGCAGGATTTATTTTATTTACGACTCGTGTATAAAGCATCTGTCCCTTTCTGCTCATAGGATCTGTCCCAGCAATTCCTCTTCTAAGCATATAGATGAAATCTGGAACTGTACAACATCATAGAGCATGACATACTGTTGCAGATGCAAATAAATGTTTTAAGATGGAGTCCTACTTGTTCATTTTACTACTTGTCTAGACTTTCATATATGGCTGCTGTTACTTATTAAAAGGCAAAGAAAAGTATGGGTTTGTTTAATTTGTGAATTTGTATCAACTACAGTTTTCTAAAAGATTAGTTAACAAGCAAAACACATACAAGGATTTCTTGTGTGTAAAAATCACAGTGTGCAGCAAGGCCTCACAGTAACAAAAGGCCAGTGATAGAGCTATCTCTGGGCATACAAACTTGCTCCTGATAATGAAATCTGCTGGGAAGCCTGCATAGGGAGGAGAGCTCCACACATAGGCAGTCTTGAATCACAGTAATCATAAATGTATAAATGAGAACGAAGTCCGACAGATCAGCAATTACATTAAGAAAATATTTCTCATTCGGTGGGTCAACACGTATGCTTTTTTGCTCTACTAATTGAAAGCAAGCAAACAAATGGATCCTTATAAGACTGACTAGCTATCTGAAGGTAGAACTCTGGCTCCCATGGCTGTGGCAGGAGGAAACCCAGAGATCTGCAGTAGATCTTGAAAGTAGATACAATAGGAAATGAGATATCACCATGTTAGAGACATTAGGATCTCTTTGGGTAAAGAATTCAAATGGGTTGCTCTCAGGGTCAACAAAATGACCAGTATATAATGTAATATAATGTATTTTCCGGCGTATAAGGTGACCCGGCATATAAGATGACCCCCAACTTCGGCGCCGATTTCCATGCCTAGAATGTCATCTTATACACCGGAAACTACAGTAATTTCCGGCGTATAAGATGACTCGGTGTATAAGACGACCCCCGACTTTGGCGCCGATTCCCACGCTTTAGAAAGTCGTCTTATATGCCGGAAAATACGGTATACTTGCTAGGAACAAGGCTTTTGTAAAATAAACTTTAAATTAAATATTGTTTATATTTTTTTTCAAAGAAGCTACTTTTTCTTGCTTGATATTTTATGTATATAATTGATTTTGGCTAATAAATTAAATATAATTTGACAAATTATAACCATATTATAAAACTACCCTTAAAAGGATCTATTATTCCACAAAAAACAGGATAGCTTTTATAAACCAGTTCTTGTCTCTAAATTATCTCCTTTATTTAAAAAAGCCCATAGTTTTATAGAATTTTGAACTCTTTAAAATTGAGAAACAATATTTTTCTCCGCATTTCCCAGTTGGTTACTTCATTGTGAAGGAAATTGTACCCTTCTTGGGTCCATACAAGTATATGGTTCACAGTGTACATGGTAGGCTATGATCTTTCTTTTGTTCTCTTCAGCTTCCAAGATTATTCTCTGAAGGGAGACGAAGGCTCCTACACTTTGATTCATCTAATATTTTCCAGTGTTTGTAGTTGTTTGCTAGATGTTGCATCAGACCAGGTAGATATGCAAATGCTGAGAGATACAGAGGGATGGGGTGGGGGAAGCAATGCCATACTTGTTTTAAAAGCATGAATAATTTCTGCAGTCTTTCAGCCTTTGTATGCTTAGGATAAACTGTTAGCATTATACAAAGAATCATTTTATATGCCAAGCAGTAGCACAGCCAGGTAACGTAACCCTTCTCTTCAAAGTTTTTCCTCCCCCAAGTATACTTTACAACAGAACGTGGGATATCACTTCAAGTTTAGAGCTTTAGTTTTTTTGCACATGTTCATTAACAAATTTATTCCATCATGCCTCTGACATAAATTCATTTTTAAAAGTACATGAAAATTTATATTTAAACATTTGTGAAATTTTGAGAATTCTGATTCATATAATTACATTCCAATTCATTTACGGAAGATGCAAATCCACTGAGTTAATTTCAGATTCCTCCAACAATGAACTCTTGCTGTATATCACAGCTTTCCACATTGTCCTTGCCAGTTATCAGCATTCTCTGGCCATTGAGCATGGCCAATCCTCATTGAACTGGTTTTCACCTCGCACCTATATTATTTGGGAAACCATGCAATTCTTCCTAATGATACTTGATAGTTTCATTTTGCCTTTACAATAACTCAGTGCTTCTGCCAGATTTAAAAACAAACAGCTGTAGAGTTAAGAGTTGTAGAATTGTTAAATCCCATACAGCTGTCACTTAAATATAATCTCTCTCCAGGCTAGCCTTTTAAAAATAGTGTTAAAATAACTTTAACCAACATGAAACGCTAAGCTTTTTTTTTTTCAGAAGGCCACACAATCATTGGGAAGAATTCCCTCCTTCCCCGATATTCTCTTGCCCGAACAATTGTGTCTGGCTAGGAAACATCCTAGTAAGGCTCTAAATAATGGAAAGGTCAAGGATATTCTTTAATGCATAAAACCTGCTGGACTGCTTGGCAAAATAATAAAAAATGCATTGCTCAAAAGGGAAGAGGAAAAATGGAAATTCTTACCATCCCAAGCATCAAACATGTCCATTATAAAGTAATCAATGAAGGATATCTGAGACTTAGGGATGCTGCAGGTATTTCGATCAAATATGGGCATCACAACGGGTAGGCCCTGCTTCTTTTCTTCATCAGTCTGTGGGGGGAATTTTTCAACTTTACAACCAGGATGAAAATTACAAAAGTAGATCAACGGTCCATTTTATAATTAATTATTGGGCTAAAACTGATCTAGTAAAGAAAACTTACATAACTCAATGAACAAAATTGAGTTTGTTGGCAACTGAAAATGTAATCCTAAATGAAACTAGATCTGTTGTCTTACTTTTTATAAGGGGAAATAATGTGGGATTGTTAAATCATTGTCTGCTTTAACCAGACAAGATAAAGATAAGATACACACATGTAAGAGTTCATGTGCATGAAAAATAGCATTTCACTTCTTATTTAGGATTATTTTACTCTGCTTTTCTTACACACAATTCATATCTCAAGATTAAGACTAGAATTTGTTTTCTCAGCATTTAACATGTTAGGAGCTGATGTTATTGCTCTGGCATTAGAGTCTACTCTTATAAGATGATTGAGAAGCAGATTGTCCATTTTAACATGATGTTAATCACCCAAAGTAAAATATGTAAGCAGGGCACTATACAAATTGAATATATTCAAAGCTATTGGGGAATAAGAAATAGTTGTTCAGTAACACGAATAAAATTATTACATTAAGCTTTGCATGTTAAGCTGATTACTTCAGAAACATTAGCTTTTAGAATGATAAACTAAAATGTTTATTTTATTTTTTAACAATAGTAAATTCATACCTGGGCAAAATATTCTTCAGAAATTCTCCCAGCCCATTCAATACACAATTCTAGTGGACGACATGGATTTGCAACATCTGCACATTTTATCATCATGCGCTTGATCAGAGTTTGGTTATCTGGAAAGTTCTTGAGACTGTTTGTGTATTCACAATCACTACTATCATTCTGGAAAATGGATATTCATAGTGTTGGTTGGCATTACTGCTCATAGTCACTATATAATATTACCACAATAATCTGTAAATATGCAGTATAAGGAAAACTACATACGTACTCATTTGTTGGTTTTGGCTGGAATTCAAGAGAATTGAACAAGTGAAATTGCTTTCTTACTTAAGACTTATCAGAAGGTACAATACTTTTTTAACTGGAATAGTGTACTGCATTTATGATTTTTTATTGCTTTGTGGGGCGGAGTGGTTGTATGTTATTGTACAATCCTCAGGAAACTGATTATTGGGTAGTTTCAGAATTCAGTCTAATGAATTCAAGGTTGTTAGACAAATATTGTAAACCTCAACTTATTGTGGTAACAATGAATCAATGATAAGGGGTTCCTGTTTAGATGTGGGTGTCTTTGGCTACTGATTTATTCTATATCTTTATTCCACTATACTATAAACACATCTGTGTCAAGGGTCACAACATCTTGAAGTATTTTTAATAATAAAATATTAGCTGCATACTCTACACTTATTTCATCGAACCAATTTATTTTTATACATGCATTGGCTCATAGCTGTTAAATCTCAACAACAATAGAAAAATAAAAAATCCTATTTGAAATTACACTGTATAAAGCTCCAAAATATAACACAATTTGCTTTGGTGATGCCTGAGTACAGCATCCCTTCAGAGCTTCATTTTGAGAGAAAGTAGCCTCCATACTAGTAATTGTGAAGTGAGGAATACAAGTTCCTTTGCTTCACCTTACTCAAATCTTTGACTAATTCCTATGTGCCAAAAAAACCCTCCACCATTGTTGGAACTGGTGATCAAGGTTTCAATTATACAAAGAGCAAAGTATTATAAAAACAATGTAATAATATATTTTATAATATAATCAAAATAAAAGTATAATAAGCCATAGATTTTCATTATACTGTATAGCAAAGCAATAGCATTTAGACTTACATACTGCCCCATAGTGCTTTACAGCATTCTCTAGACAGTTTACAAGTAAGCATTATTTACATGTTGCCCCCAACAATCTGGGTCCTCATTTTACCAACCTTGGAAGGATGGAAGGCTGAGTCACCTTCAAGCCCCATCAGGATCAAACTCCAGGCTGTGGGCAGAGTTTGTCTACAATACTGCACTTTAACCACAACCCTACCAGGGCTCTTGTATTTGTACCCTTCTGGCACTTAATGCATAACAACTATGCTGGCTCAGGAATTCTGGAGTTGAAATTCACAGAACTTAAACTTGCCAAGGTTGAGAATTAGTTGTGTAGATTTAGGTGATTCCAATATGAAAAATATTGTAAAAAGTATTTATTGCAAATTTTCCTCTAGCTCTTTGTATATTTTTAGAAATTTATCCACATGGATATTTATATTAATACAAGTATGAAAGTAACTATCCCAATTCCATAGGAATATAAACATGTAAATCCAAAGTTTTTTTATGCCTTCATTATTATATGTGAACAGGTGCATATTTGAAAGAATGTAGTGTTGAAGTTATTCTAAATAAAATCTTAGATCTATACACATTGCTAAATTCATACAAATACCAATCTTTAATTAAGAGTACTTATATTTACATATCAAGTGATGGCAGTATTCATAGAAAAGAAAGGACCAGCATAATCAGAACACTCTGGTTTGCAAAAGAATTAAAAAACATTAGGCTGAGGAATTTCAGCATTCAATGAATGCTATCTGACTGCAGAAAACTTTAAAAACCAAAGGCTCAGGTTTTACTTTGATTTTTTGATGGGGATTGGCAAAGATGGAATGGGGTGAAGTGGTTGTAGACCAACTTTGATCCATTGTACAATGCAACATTTTACTGCAGCAGCTTATTTCTTAGACCAAAATGTAAACTCCTTATGTAGCAACACCTCACTGAAAACTCTTAAGAACCACAGTCAGTCAGAAAGAGATAAAAATCTTCCAATTTATCCTGAGTTAAACTGATTACAGCTATTTTGTATGATCTCATGTATGGTTCACAAAGCCTTGAAACATTATTATTAATAATTTCCACGTTACTCAGTCTTTCCATTTTAATGAAACCTTTAAATTATGAAGAAGCATGCATTACATTAATAATTCAAAATACGAACATTAAAATAACATAAAAATAAAGAAGAATATACTCAGACAAAATTATGGGCACTTATGGTTGAAAATGAAATGCAAATCACCCTTGTTCCCATTAGAAAATTGCTGTCATATGAATGAAAGATGTCCAAAACTGAAAAAAGACATCTGACTGAAATGCTTTGATTTATTCACAAGGTCTGCTGCTTACATTGGAGTTGCTTTCATCTGAGGACATGGGCTTGATGATGTTGTTCACAAACTTGTTCACATGCTCAAAGTGCTTTGTCATTTCTGTTGCCAGGACCATGTCAATAATTGCTTGACGAAGAGCTCGATAATGATTTCTGAAAAGAGAAAGAGCAATCTGAATAGATATTGGTAGAACTGATTCCTTTTCTGATTTCCCATGTATTGGGATAACATCAGCAAATCCATTTTTGATTATATGGGTATCTCCTTGAAGTAGAGCAGTTATGTGTTACTAAAACACGCAATTTGACTGTACTACAAGTGGGCTTTAGCTTTTGAGGCCCATGAAAGCAGGTATGGCCAAAGCCAGCAGGCATTTGAGGTGGTCACAAACTCAAGAGTAGGCTTCCTTTGGGCTAAGGTGTAGAGGTACAGCTGCTTCATTCCACTCCTTTTCCCACCTTGTCTTTGTCTTCTTTTTATGGGCAAACAGGCTCCTTTCTTGGTTGCAATACGTAGGACTTAGTTGTGGTCCCTATTCAACTTGGTCCTAAGTCTGTCTTGTAAAATACAAGTTGCCCATTCATTTATATTCATGATTTTATTTTTAATAAAATTTATATCCTATTGGATTTTAAATGTTGTTTACTTCACAATTCTGTTAACCTACATTATATACAGGGAATATTTATACCACATTGGACTGAGTATTTGTATTTCTTTGGGTATTATGACATTGGCATTTGGTGTTATTTTAGTTGCTTAATTCAGGTAGTCCTTGACTTAAAACCATTTCCTGTGACTTTTTGAAGTTACGATGGCACTGAAAGAAAGTGAGCTATGATTGTTTGTCACACCTATGACCCCATGGCCATAGGATCAAAATTCAGATACATGGCAACTGGTTTGTATTTGTGACCATTGCTGTGTCCCAGGGTCATGTGGTCACCTTCTCTAATCCTCTGACAAAGAAAGCCAATGGGGAAGCCAGACTCACTTAACAAACATGTTACTAGCTTAACAACTGGAGTGAATCACACAACTGTGGCTAGAAAGATCATAAAATGGGCAAAACTCACTTAACAACTGTCTTTCTTAGCAATGGAACTTTTGGACTCAATTGTGGTCATAAGTCGAGGACTACCTGTAAAGTAAAAATAAATTCACCATATTAATTTTCTGGAACCATAGTGCTATTGTGTTGCCTATGTCAAAATAATAAATTATACAGGTAGTCCTTGATTTAAAATAGTTCATTTAGTGACCGTTCAAAGTTACAACGGCACAGTGAAGGGACTTATGACCATTTTTCACACTTATGACCATTGCAGCATCCTCAGGGTCACATGATTTACATTTGGATGCTTGACACTTGACACATATTTATGACAATTGCCGTGTCCCAGGGTTATGTGATCCCTTTTGCGACCTTCTGACAAGCAAAGTCAATAGGGAAGCCAGATTCATTTAACAACTATATTATTAATTTAACAACTGCAGCAATTCACTTAACAAACGTGGCAAGAAATGTCATAAAATGGGGCAAAACTCATTTAACAAATTTATCACTTAGCAACATAAATTCTGGGCTCAATTGTGGTTGTAAGTCGAGGGCTATCTGTATACAGATAGTTCTTGACTGACAACGATTTGTTTAAAGGTAGTTTAAAGTTATGACAGCCTTGGAAAAAGTGATTTATGACCTATCCTTGAAGTTAATGACTATCGCACCACTCCCGCACAATTTAAGCACTTGGCAACCAGCTCACACTTAGAACTGGTTGCACCATCTTGCAGTCATCCTGCAAATCATAATTTGTGACCTTCTCCGGCAGTTTCCACTGAAGAGCATCAATTGGGAAGGCCAGATTCATTTAAGGATCATGTGATTCACTTAATCATAGTGATTTCCTTAATGACTGTGGTAAAATGGTCATAAAATCAGAGTCCAGTCATGTGATGACTTGCTTAATGACCAAAATTCCAGTCCGAATTGTGATTGTAAATTGAGAACTAGTGTCTTTCTATAGTAGTTCGAAATGTATTTTCATATTAGCACATTACATTGCAACATATTTAATACACACTTTATGCAAACATATAATATATTTCCAAAATGAAAAGAATTCTGATACAGATATAAATGTGAATTTCTTTTAGAATCACATTTTTCAGATTTGGATATTCTTGTGAATTGATATTCATGAATGTCAGCACTTTGCTATATTACATATACCAAATATTGAAAGAGACTAATTTCACACCCTATGCACAGATGCAAAACTATTCCCAGGCTCAAATCCAAGAAACTAACCTGTTAAGATTTTTAAAAATGTTGCACTTGTTGTCTTTTGTTGTCAGCTGGAAGGCCAGAGCCGTGTGATGGCTTTCTAAGACAGCAGTGTCATTGTAGAGAACAGCCAATTCACTGCCTTCATTGCACAAAAAAGAGTTGGTCCGTCCTGGGTGATCTACGTCATGTATTGTTGCTGCTATTAATGCAGCTACTTGGTCTAAATGATCAAGGCTTCCCTAGAAGGAAAAATTAAGTCTTGTGTCAATCATCAATAGCTTTGCATCCCTATATGGATTAATGCAGGCAATATATTGTTCTTCAGTAACATTTCCCTGTGGTGCTAGTTTATTTATTCTTGTAAATGCAATACTTAGGAAAATCAGACTCAACTATATGGAATGCAGAATTGCATTCCAGAAGTATTTGGAGGGCATGGCTACAGAAAATCAAGAGGGTGGACAAAATGATACAAATGAAGCTCCACTTCTTTCATATATGCATATTGGATTGGATTTCTTTGTTATGCCATCTTATAGTGATTTTTTGTTTTTGCTTATTCAATGAAAGATTCTGAATTTATAATTTGGAAAAGGCTTCCAGTTAAGGTACTCATAGGCAAGCCTTTTATTGTATTGTTGTGCAATCCAATTCTCATACTGTTTGATTGTGGCAGGAAAAAGTTCCGTATCATTGTTCATTTGTAAGTTCCTCTTACTTTTCTCTAACTTCCATCTTTTATTTTACCAAAGGAAATCAGTTAGGAAAGGAAAGATGGATGCCTTTTCCTCCGCATTTAACCTAAACTTACTTTCCTTTGGTTTTCAAACCATGCTTCTTAACTAATCTTTCTTCTTTTTTTTAATAAAATGAATGTGCTAATAATACTTGGAACAGGAACATATAATTATCAGCACAAGGTGTACCTTAACTCTTTCTTTGCCCAGAAAAAATGCTGTAGCATGCAAAACATCTGCTGCATGAGTGGAGTTATGATAAGAATTGGAAGAGTGATAGTTTGCCTCAATCACTTGGAACCAGGCGCGCAGTGTGGCTTCTGAACAGTTTAAGAATTCACAGATGCCAAAACGGGAAAAAATTTTCAACCCCAGGTAAACTAATGGTCTGGAACAAAACAAGAGAGGAATGAAGAAACAAAGTCACTCATCACTGAACTTCTTACGTTTATTGACTTTGGTTACTGATAGTAGCTTTATTAGATAAATTACAGGTAGGTCTCGACTTACAACAGTTTGTTTAGTGACCATTTGAAATTACAATGGCACTGAAAGAAGTGACTTATGAGTGCTTTTCATATTTAGACAGTTGCAGCATTCCCTTGGTCACATGGTCACAATTCGGATGCTTTGTCAAATGACTCATATTTATGACCGTTGCAGTGTCCCAGGTCTTGTGATCACCTTTTGCAATCTTCTGACAAGCAAAGTTAGTACGGAAGCCTGATTCATTTAATAACTAACTGTTATTAACTTAACAATAAAATGGACCAAACCTCACTTAACAACTGTCTCATTTAGCTACATAAATTTTGGGCTCAATTGTGGTTGTAAGTCGAGGACTTCCTGTGTACCACCAGTCTTGCTTCATTATAAATAGAGGTACAGGGTTCCATTCCCCCAAAGATAACCAACTAAATGACAGCTGAAAGAAATTAGAGAAGGGAGGCTAAAGGAAAGAAATAAAGGCCCAAATTGCACATTATCTGAAATGTACATTGGGTGTGTCCAATTCTTTTTCATATGCTAGGAGTTATCATCACAACAGCAACCATCATCTCAGCTGAAGGCTCCAGCAACAGTTTTCAATCTGTGCCAGTTCGCATCTGACAGGAAAGAAATCTTTGGAATTTCAGATGAGAGAGTAGAAAAACAGCAGGTATCATATTAGCAATATACATTATTGCAATTGAATGTACCCAAAATTCATGTTTAATGATATGTGGCTTAAAGAGAGAAGGGCAATAAAGAAATACTCTTAAATATTTTGCAGCTAATTTTAGTTGGGAATGAGCAGATACAATTTCTTCATGAAATGAGAGAATATTGAGGTACAATTTAGCAGAAATAAATATGTGATTCTGTGTAGTTCCATCCATAAAAGTCACAAGTGATAGAAACATGATATATGTTTGGTTTAGTTTATAGATTTCAAAGAAATTGACCATGAATTTGTATGGGAATAGTTTTAAAAGACAGATTAAGCACAGCAACATTGAACAGTCTGCTTAGTAGTTATTCTATCCTTTCTGATAAAAAAATCCATCTAAAATGATGAATATGACATGTTTATTATGAAACTTCTTGAAACTTACATATGAAAGGAAATAGTTATATTTTAAAAAGTACAATATAAAAAATTGTATTAAAAAGATTGGATCTGGGGAACTACTGTAAGATAGCATTAAAGGAATTTACTTTTAAGCAATTTATTTATTTGAAAATACATAGTATCAACATAGTATTTTAGAGAAGGTTTCATTAAAAAAAACTTCTGTATTTTAGGGAAGCTGTGAATGACAATAAATGCTATTATGTACTACCATAAAGTACTGTGAGCCCAGAATATCACATTGCTAACCAGACAATAAAACATTTTTAACTATGATATATACATTTCTATAAAATAATAAAATGATCAGATGGAATTAAAAAGGCTATTTTTAATATATTTAAAATTTACAAACCACTTGCACCTAAACGAAGAAGCACAGAAAGAAAAGCACATCATTTACAGGTCTTATTCTGTTGATATTTGTAATCCTGCCAGGGCTAGGTGACTGTCATGGCCCTGTCAGACCCTGCTTTGGAGGAAGAGGAGGAGGAGTTGGAACTGGTACATCTCTGGAACGTCCAGCTGTTCCAGGCCCCTCTGGCATTGCGGGAAGTGATCGACTGGATGGGGAGCCGCCTGCCTTCACAAATGTGGGGAAGGATCAGCTACAGATGGGCAGCAGCGATGAGGGACAACAGATCCTCTTTGACAAGGAAAAGTTGCCTCCCTCATCTGATCCACGGAGAGTGGAGCAGAGGGAAACTCAGAGAAGGTCTGTGAGGCTGCTCATGAGGAGGTTGCCCTGCCCGTCCTCACAGGGAACACTTAGCTCAGGGTGATTTAACCAGAGGCCGGGGGAGGATGTGTTCATCAGGAACAACCATTTGTCTTGACATGCATCCCTCTGAGTTTTGGAAACCTTGACTCATAGACTTTGACTCGTGTTTCAGCCTTTGGATTTGCAGACACTGACTCTGGATTATGGTTTATGGATCTTGTTTTGCAAACTCTGCTCCTGGTTTGTGGACTTCGACTTTCTTCCTGTTTGGGGGCTTCATTCTGATGACTAGTGGACCCAGCTGATAGAACTGGGTTACATTGATTGTTGGTGGTTGTTTTGTTGGAAAAAGTGGAGTGGAGGTTTATCAACACCCCTGGAGGGCCTTCTGTCATGGTTTAGTGGTGCAATAAAAGACTTTATTGATGTCTGCATCTGCCTATGCGAGTTGGGTCAGAACAGTGATGCAGCCAAAACAATTATAAATAAGCCACATAAATTTCATTTATGACAAAATTGCAACTGCCTCCAACATTTATTTTTATCCATCTAATGAGCACAGATATAAAGCTTGCCTTTTATTTGTAACAGCTTCCAGCTCAAAAATGTTGAAGTCCCAGCTCTCTTCATTATCCAATAAGTGTCCAATGCAGGGCGGAGCATCACTGATGATGATTGGCACTGATTGGCTCTGATTCATATCTGCATAAATGGGGAACAGGCAGGTTATGATTCTGTCAACATGTGCCCAATTGAAGAGCCATTAATAAAAAGAGAATCTCAAGGCTAAGCTAGAGATGCTAGCAAGTTTAAACATGGAGAAGCCCCATGCCTTTGGGAAGACATGGATGTAAAATGGGGCTGCTGGAAAGAAGTGCCTTACCTTCTTGTATTGTTATATTCCATGTTGCATCATCTTAGCCATTTGCTGATGAAAAGAAGGTACTCTGAAAAGACACCGGGGCAAGATACGTTCTAGGCTTGGAGAGATTCCTGCACTGACCTTGCCTAATTTTGCCCTCCTTTCTTCTCCATCTTATGGAGTGGCTGAGGCCTATCAGTACTGAACACTTTAGTGCTATCACATTTCGTAAGTCATTTCAAAAGTTCGATTATGAACTTGGAAGTGTGTTTCAACATGTGAAAATATAAAATCCACAACCCCTTTGATACTTTTCAATGCTGCTGATACAGATACCAGTGTTGCTTTTGCAAAAGCCAGCTAGGTACAAGTAATAACGTGTAGTTCTGGAAGAGGGAGTCTAAGGCCATCAGAAGATGCAAGCATTCTATTTAATAAAACAATAATAAAGTTTGCACATTATGATGCAAACACAGTATTTGTAGGAATATTCAATCAGTTTTGTATACATAGGAAATGACTTAAATATATACACTACTCCTTTACTGGATTAAAGCTGAGAGTAGATTCTACATCATGGAAATGTATGTAATAGAGAATCTGCTGGTGAGGCACAGGACTCTGAGACAGGCCTTTAGCTTCTTCTACATTCCTGTGTGTTTTATTCTTCCCTTTCCTAGTTCTATACATTCTTCCTCTTTGGCTTTGTGCTCCCCACTGCACCCAAGCAAGAGTATTGTTCTCTGTTCTTGCTAAACTTGATCTTTAATGATCTATCATGAATTTGGTTTCTTCTCTCTACCCAATCTGCATTTCAATCCTTAGTTATGTCCATTATTCTGCTCTCTACGCATGTTAAAAATAGAGTCAGAAGAGAGAGGGTGAAAAAACTAAGATAGCAACCAAAAGTACACAGTCAAAATCCCACTTTTGGTTTGCTTATTTATTTGGTTTAGCAGGTGGGGAAAAATGGCAGATTGATACACCTTTGTGAACAGATGAAATAATGCTGCAGCAAAGACCAGCAACATGGCATTAAGCCCTAATCAATGGCACCTCTCCAGATAAGGAGAAGCTGGGAGATTGCCCATGTATGCTGTCAAAGTCTGCTCCTTATGAGTAGACCCACAAGATCTGAAAAGGTTCTGCAGGCTTATTGTGAGTCTGAGGGTCAAGGGTTACAGAAAAGACAGCAAGCTCACAGCTGCAGCAAAGTCTGCAAAAACCCTCCCTTTCTTAAACACATTCAAAAGACAATTATTTCAAAGTTAAAGAGGGATAGTTGATGCAGAAGAGTAATCAAGCCACCTAGTGAGCGATTCTCCATCCTAGATCAAAGATAAGACTAAAGGAACAATTTAGGATTTAAAATAGAATAGAATGGAATAGAATAGAATTCTTTATTGGCCAAGTGTGATTGGACACACAAGGAATTTGTCTCTGGTGAATAAGCTCTCAGTGTACAAGAAAGCAACAAGTGATAACCATGATCATAATCATAAAATACAATAATCATAAGTCATAAGATACAACACTCAGTGATAGTCATAGGATATTAAATAAAAGCAATTAACACAATCATTATAGGCTATTAATGAAAGCAATCAACATAAATCATAAGGTACAAACAACAAAGTTATAGTCATACGATACTAAGGAATAGGTAATAGGAAAGATGAGAAGATAATAGTAATACGGCCCTACTACATGGTTTGACATCCTAGGGCACAGAGAGTGTTGTGGGAATTAGTTGTTTAGCAGAATGATGGCATGGGGAAAAAACTCTCCTTGTGTCTAGTTAGGGAAGACGTTGAAACAGTTTATGTCCAAGATGTGAGGGGTCTGTAGATATTTTCACAGCCCTCTTTCTTGCTCATGCAGTATACAGGTCCTCAATGGAAGACAGGCTGGTAGCAATAGTTTTTTCTTCAGTCCTAACTATCCATTGAAGCTTGTGCCTGTCCTGTTTAGTTGCAGTGCCAAACCAGACAGTTATAGAGGTGAAAATGACAGACTCAATAATTTCTTTGCAGAACTGTATCAGCAGCTCCTTGGGCAGTCTGAGCTTTTTGAGTAGGCACAAGAAGAACATTCTTTGTTGTGCTCCTTTGATGACATTTTTGATGTTAGATGTCCATTTTAAGTCTTGAGATATTATAGAACCTAGAAACTTCAAGGTCTCTATTGTTGACACTGTATTGTCTAGTATTGTAAGAGGTGGTAGAATAGGAGGGCTTCTCCTAAAATCTACTATCATCTCTACAGTTTTGAGTGTGGTCTGTTCAAGATTGTTCCAGTTGCACCACAAGGCCAGTTGTTCAACTTCCCATTTATATGCAGGCAAATAATAAATTATCCCATCTATAATTAAAGCCAAAAAGCTTGCCAACAGTTTAAATTAAGAAGGTTTAAAATGAACTTGTTTTGATTAAATGCTGCAAGCGTTCTTTTTTTTTTTTTTGAGAGAGAGAGAAAGGGGGGGGGAAGGAGACAGAATGAATCTGAAAAGTTGAGGCTCTGGAAAGAGAGCAGAGAAAAGCAACAAAGATCAAAGATGATTAGGGGCTGGAAGATAAAACATATGAGGAATGGTTGCAGGGATTGGGTATACCTAATTGGTGAAAAGAAGGACTGGGTTGACATGATAGCAGTCTTTCAATATTTGAGGGGCTGCCACAAAGAAAAGGAGATAAACCTATTTTCCAAAGCACCAGTAGGCAGAACAAGAAGCAATGGAAGGAAACTGATCAAGGAGAGAACCTATCTAGAACTAAGGAAAGAAATCCTGACAATGAAAACAATTAACCAGTGGAAAGGCTTGCCTTCAGAAGTTGTGAATGCTCCTTCACTGGAGGTTTTAAAGAAGAAATTGGACAGCCATTCATCCAGAATGGTATAGGGCCTTTTGTTTGAGCAGAGGGTTGGACTAGAAAACCTCCATGGTCCCTTCCAATTCTATTATTTTGTTATTTTTTGTATTACAGCAGAACAAGTTTAATGAATGTTTTCTATTTACTACACTGCAAATAGTTGGGGGTAATAAAAAGGGATAAACTTATCTTTCCAAATGTTGTGTGAAAACTTATTACATCTAAACTCTTTATGCACCAAATTCAATGGACAATTAATGAAACAAATTAAGATATCAGAGTTTTGTATTTCTGATTTTTCAGTAAAAGCAATTTTTATGCAATATTGATATGAATGAACAGAAAAAGAGAGTTTAACATATAAACTTACTTTTAGAAAATAAATACTCATTTCCTGACAGTTTTTTCAAGCCATCCTGAAATAATGAAAAAAAAAGAAAAGGTTTCCATACACTAAGAGAAAAAAGATGAAATTATATTTCAATAAATGCAGTTTATTATACATATTATTTTTAAACAGAAGATAACATTGCTAATAGATCTATAGGAATATAAATGTTAAAAATAATCATAAAAGTGGCTATATGTCTATATTAATATTCTACATAATCTGAAAAAAGATCACTGAAAATGCAGTGCAATCTAATTCCTATCTAATATTTAATATATACTGTTTTATTTCTTCAAGGTCTATCAAAGAAGGTACCGAGTTTTCAATGAAAAATGAGAAGATAACTAATGTGTTCTACCATACTTTCCAGCATTCATAAAAGTAAGATGTGGGTTTATAGAATTTTCATCACAAATCTCAGCTTATGGGTTTCATGAAATGCTGTTCTTATAATCAGTCTAGAAGAGGTCTCTCATGACATTCTCTTCTCCTTATGGCCAAGAATCTAGAACTGTTTCTCCTGCAATGACCACAGCTGTTTGCTTTTATAAATTTCTTTTTAGCATGTTTTTAATTTGTACAGCATATGTACAGCAAATGGATCCTTGATGATGACAACCTGTTCACGTGAGCCTGGATTCCAGCCGCTGATTTTACTAGTGAAACTGATGGTGTGATTTATGTCTCTTTACTCACAGTCATCAGACCTCCAACAAGATTGCTAGTATGAGGGTCATCATCTTTGGTTCCTAGCTGCGGAGAATAAAGTTCTGTTGTTCGTAAGATTTCCAACACTCTATCCAAAGCATCTGCTACAGTCACAGGACTATTCTCTTGAGCCGAATTGATTATATTAATAACCTGTAGGATTACAAATGGAAAAGAAATAATAAAGCCATTATTGCTTTCAATCCAATGTATTTATAAAATCTGTATGCAATATTGAGTTATCATGTAAAAGAACTATGAATCGAATAAAGTAGTTGGCTTTTAAAATGATTAACCAATTCTTCAATCAATTAAATTAAAATATAATTGCATATTTTAAAAATTCACTATATTGACTTTGTGCAAAACAACCAACCATTCATAAATAGAAACTCGTATTTATACTAAATCCCAACATCTCTGTGTGATATGAATTGATATTTCAATAAATACAATAAGAATAGATGTGCTTTTTTTTTTTTTTGCAAAGGATTATTGATGTATAAAATGACATCAGAAAGACTTTGCCTCATACCTTTGTAATTGGAGCTTCTATTGTCATGGAATGGATTCTTGCTATAGATGAATATTGATGATTCTGTAAACTTGGTGCTGCATTAAACAGAAAAGAATTAGGCTTTTTAAAAAGGCTATTTGAAAACTTTAAAAAGGCTACTTTCTTATAAACTGTATTATTTTAAATTAAATTGTTCCAAATAGTATGTTCTTACGTTTATGTTGCATATACAGGTAGTCCTCACCTATTGATTGCTGGTTTAGTGACTGTTATGACAGTGTTGAAAAAAGAGATTTATGGGGCTATTGCAGCATCTTTTGGTCATGTGATTGCAATATGGGCATTTGGCAACCAACACATGTTTATGATAGTTACAGCATCCTGTGGTCATGTGATTGTCATTTGTAACCTTCACTGCCAGCTTCCCAGAAGCAAAGTCAGTGAAGTCAGCAAGAATTCACAAGTCGCAGTCATGTGATAACTCACCTTATGACCATGGATGATTCATTTAAGGACAACAGCTGAATGTCATAGATCAGGCATGGTAACATGACATTTCACTTTGCATTAGCAACAGAATTGTGAGTCCTAATTGTGGTCAGTACATGATGACTATCTGTATGATTAAAAAGTAAGAAACTGCCTATTTTTCCATTGTTCAAACTTATACTTTCTGCTATCTGGGGGTGTCAAACTGTTGGCCAGTGGGCCAGACGCGTCATCTGGAAGCCGCGCCCACCCCATTGCCGGCAATGGCAAAACTGTCCCGATACGTTGCGCGACGTCACGTGATATCGCGAGTTTGACATGTCTATGCTATTTAATAGCCCAGATAGTTGGGAAAAGATTATAATAAAATATTAAATCAAATGCCAATCACTTAAATCATCAATTTCATTTCCTTTTAACATAGGACTCTGAATAATATCTCCTGCATATTTCATTTCTTACCATCACTACTTTGAGAAGTTATTGATTTAACATCAATGGATTCTTTCCTTCTGTTCTTGCATCTGAAGGAGTGAGAGTCTATAAATGTTAAAGGAAAGGATTTAAAAAGGAGCAGGATTTATTTTCACAGTCACTTTTTCTCCCTATATTAAAATACTGATTTTTAAATTGCCTCCCAACTACAGATCAGAAATTTAAAAATAAACCCTTCCTCAATTAAATAGGGAAGGATAACAGAAAACAAAGAAACCAAATTCTTTAATTTCCTAGTTTCAAAGCCAATTTTTATTACTGTCTTATTATATGCTAAACCTGATTTGATTTAAAGATAATATGTTGTTAAAAAAACCTATTAGAGAATAACCAGGAATACATTAAGCTCATGAATTTATACATGCATTATTTTACAGTATCTTCTTTCCAAATAAGTGGTATTTAGCCATAATATCTATGTACTGTATATATGTATGTATGTATGCATTTATAGCATTCTTATAGTCATCCATTTCATACAAGTGATTTTACACAATTTATAGGATTAAAAACAAAAATCCCCCCCCCCAACATCACCTCCTTGATACCCAATAAACAATCAACAATAAAACATCCATACTAGCAGAGCTCATCTCCACCCTGGCCCAATCTGAAAGGCTAAAAAGATTGGGGTCATCCAAATCTTGAGGGGAGGGAGATGCTGTTCCATAGAGCAGGTACAGCCAATGAGAAGGCATGATTCCAGTGTCCAGTGAGATGGCATAGAAGAGACCCAGCACAGGCCCTCTGTACTAGATCCAGTGAGGTTGGCAGAAACAACAAGAGAAAGGTTTCCTCCAAATAGCCTGGGCCTATGCTATACAAGCATAATCTATAAATGTCAATCTCTTAATTCTATATTCTATTTTCTTGCAATATTATGTCACAATTTATTTTAATGAAACATTCTTCCACTTTATCGCATATGTTGAAAATTATATTTTTCAGTCTACTGAAAAATACATGTACTGAAAATAGAATATATAGTAGAATATACTGTATAATAGAAGCAGTCTGCTAAAGAGTAATAGCTCCTAATTTGCTATGTGAAGAGTTTAAATTACTTCCAGATTTCACAGGCGGAACTTCCACTCCAGAATCAACTGCCTCTACATAAGTGCCATAATATATAAAGCATCCTTCAGCCTAGTAGTAAGACTGGTTCTGATTCTTCAAATAATAGAAAGGCTATTTTCTAACCTGATTGAAACTGGTCTCCTGCACAGTTTTCATCATGATGTGTCCTGTAAGTCTTGTGTTATATGAAAAAGGAAACACAAAAGAGACATATAAGCTTCATCCTAATAGCAAGATACAGATCTGCCATACATTATTATCACCACACAAAGCTTGGTTAGCAGTGAATATCCCTTAACTTTCTTAATCAGAAACAGTTGAAGGCCACCAAAAATAATTTTTCAGACAGCTGCAACTTTGAGGTGCTCAGGGAATTGATTTTGTCTTGTACCAGCTTTCTTGCTGAGATGTCAAAGAGAAAGTTAAATTATTGTTGGAGGCTAAAAGTTTCCCATATCTACTGTATAGTTTGCTTATGCTTACATCATATACCATCTGTTAGAAACTTGACCAAGCTGTTATCTCTGTATAGTTACCTCCTCATTATATTGGATCTGAATGACTGTAACAGTATATTTTGAAATACCATAAATTTCAACTACAAAATCTGGTTCAAAACAGAGAAATTTGAATATCCTCATTAGCTGTATATGATAAGACATAGGAGAGGCCTCTAAAATAAATGCATATCATCTTATCAAGCACCAAAAGTTGACTGTCACAAGATACATTTATGATAATGTGATTTGACATTTATATTTTAAATGATATATAATTTAAGACTTTGGAAACATCCAGTTGTTAATAAGAAAGTGACAAACAATTGTACAAAGGGAAAATCCTACCTGTTTGTTGCTACCGGTATCATTGCTGCAACACAGTTTTCTGATAGACACAAAATGTCGAATTTTTCTATGAATATAAAAATAAGCCACTATTATTAAATGCAGTGTTTATTGGTGACTAATTACTTGCTCTCTACTATAAAACAAAAATTCTAATTCCAATTAGTTTATTTCAATTTATTTATTTATTACTTATGGCAATTATTGAGGTCATTCTATAAAATACTCATAAATTATAATTGGCACACACTAATATTGGTGAGGAAAAAAGGGATCAAAAACACAAGATGATCTTCCAGCAGAATCCTGTACATGTAGATCAACTAATATTAACAAAACTCTGTGTAAGGCTGCAACAGAAATTTCCATCACCTCAGTGAATGAGATAAATGGTATTTAATTTGTATAAAGTTTGTAATATGCCTGAGATAATCAAATCCTTAATTTCCAACTGTCACTTTAATTTAACAAAAGGTATTGGACATTCCATTGATGGAATTCTTTTACATTATCAAGTTTAATCTTTTATAAATTTATAGATGGGCAGCGACTAGAATTCACAGTTATCATATTTCACCAAAGTACCTGGATACTTTAAATATTTAAGTTAAGTATTAAGCATTTACTTTAATTTAAGTATTAAGTATTCTTAAGAGCAACATTTAATTTTCTTTTTACAGGAAACAGAAGAGAAAACTAACAAGCTACATCATGGATGGCAACATTTGTTATCTGAATTCTGCTACTTAGACCACCTAGCAAGATGCGAAGTAGAAGAACAGAATTAAATTATTTCAACCCCTTCAGTGCAGGGATTTAAGGGTAGAGAAAGTAATAGGAGCCCCCTACTGTACATCTACTCTGATTTCCACCTTAAATGAATGTGTGAGTGAGTAACTGAATGAAAATCCAAAGATAATATTACTCAGATTTAGTTATTTTGTCAACTTAAAAGTGCAGAAATGCAACCTATATGATAGGTGCTACTTAACTCTAGTTGGATTTGAAAAAAAAGAGAAACCGTGTCAACAGACCGTGTCTAGAGGCAATCTTATCACCTACAAATATGATAAATAAACAAATTTGATACACATCACTTATGGTCAATGCACTTTTTCATTAACACACTTACCCTCCTTGGCCTGTCACAGGAGTTATCTTAACATGCTGTTGGATATTATCGCCTGATTTTCTTCGTGCATAATAAACACCTTGCCATTCCTAAACAAGTCAAGTGAAGCCATAGTCAAAAAAGTAGTCGATTTGCCTTATTAAAAATAATAAAGTCTGTTGCAGTCCTTCTCTATCTGAAATCCTCAAAGTTGCCATCTAGTCTTTCCCAGTCAGGTGGCCTTCTGATGCTTTCATGCAGCATGTCATATTCATACTGTACCACACATACAGAGAATCATAGAGATGAAAGGGGCCATGGACAGCACTGAGACCAATCTTGTGATTTGAGTTAAAGCATCCATGGCGAATAACTATCCAGTCTCTGCCTAATATTCTCCAGTAAAGGAGAATCCACATCACAGTGAGTTTTCATATTCAGATTGTAATTAAAAAATTCTATTAAAGAATGCAAAAAGGATAGGGTAATTTATCACTCACGTTTCCTCTTTTGATGCAGGTGTTGATTGTATCCAACAGATCCGCATGGTTTTTGTCACATTTTGGAAGCTCTGTAAGTTCTTTCCCTATTAACTCTCCCTTCTGATAGCCCATCATCTGTTCAAATGCTGGGTTAACATACTGTTAAAAAAAATGAAATGAAGTTTATAAGCAAGTACAGAAAGTTTAAAATCAAATTTTGATAAATTTCATATTCTGTTTGTACAATCCCAAGTGTAGGAAAACTTCCTAGCAAATACCTAAACAGAAAGGCTTTGCTTTGTATTCACTCAGTGCAAATGCACCAATAGAAAAGGGTTCCAAAATAAAATACAGAAAACTTTGCATGTTACCTCCTTAGACAAATAGTATCTAAACAGAATTCCTACTTATGTGCCTATATTACAATGGTCATTCTTTCCTTTATTAGTTTAAAGTGATACAGATAAACAAATTTTTTAAAGAGAGTTGTGCTTTTTTCCATACCTGAATGATATGATCTTCGCTAGTTATTTCTATTGCTTCATGACAGTGCTCTAGAGCAGTGAATACCGAATTACAAGCCCTATAATTAATCAATAAAGAGAGATTGTTAGAATGTATGATTGAACAATTCAGGATGCTATAACTGATTAATTCCTATGCATTCATGGAAATACATCATCTTCCTCTAAAAATATACTTTTTAGAATATATTAGTTTTCTATTAAATTATGCAATATTAATGTCAATATATGAATGATATACTATTACTATTACAGAAATATAAATAGATCCCACTTCCCAAATAAAATTATAACTTTTATTTGGGGGAGGAAAGAAATCAGAAAGACATGGACTCAACACAATTTTTTCCAGATGTTTCCTCAGACATATTAAATATGCATGTTTTTATTTATGTCATAATTTACAACTTGCATGAGGGTGAAGATCCGGTGTTCAGTCTTCCTTTGCAACCTAACCCTAAGTGGCATTTGTGAGGAAAATGTCCGGATTAGGGAAGTTTAGAGGTCTACTTAGTAAAGCGGGAGAAGGCAACCCACAACATACAAGTTGCAGATAGTCGAAATATCTTTTTGTGTCTTCCTGAGATTGTACCAACTGACATTTGGTGCTGTTCACAGAGGCAAATATTTCTACTGATTTTTCAAATAAATACATTTACAAAAATAGGCAAATCTCTGTATAGGCTTAATACCTAAATAAACAAGCTAAAACCATAAACTAAATACAATCCATCAAACAGCATAAAAAAATTTTAGTCCCAGCCATTCTCTGCAACATTAATCTGATGTCTACTGAGTTGTTGGTTATTTTTAAAGAGTAGTTCTAGTCATTAAGAAATTGCTTGATTTGCAGATAAAGAGGATGCATGGGTATGGGAAGTACTATAGTATAGATCAGGGGTCCCCAAACCCTGGGCCCCAGCTGTGGCCTATTCAGAACTGAGATGTGTGAGAGGTGAGCTGCGAGTGCACGCATGTGTGCTGGCACACCACTGGTGCGGCCTGGTTCCCCTCTTCCCCCCCACAGCCAGGCTGCCGCCTGCTCCAAAAGCTTTTGCAAAAGGACAAAAGGCTTCAGAGGAGTGATTTTACTCTGCTTCAGGCCTTCTATCCCTTTGCAAAAGCTTTTGGTGCAGAGAAGCCTGACGGAGTGCAAAACTGTGCCCCAGAGGCTTCTCTTTTCTCTTGTGTGAGTGGAGCTGTGCATGCATGTGCCATCCCACCACTCACATGGCCTGGTTCCCGTCTCTCCCCCCAGCCGGGCCACCAAGTTGCAAAGGTTGGGAACTGCTAGTATAGATGAGTCCTGAGAGACTCTTGGATAAAGAAAAAAATCCTCATGCAAAATTTATCTGGTAAATTATTCCTGAAATACAGGCAATTAGATATTTGAGCTTCCATTTTTTTAGACTATGTTCATTTGAACAATGATAAGCCTACAATTCAAAAGTCAGAAAAGCTATTCTTAATAGATAAAAATACCCAGCATCAATGATAATAACAGAATAAGAGTGTTTGAAGGGAACTTGTAGGTCTTTTAGTTCAACTGCCTATACCATTTCAAACAAATGATTGTCCAATCTCTTCTTAAGAGCCTGCAGTGTTGGAGCATCCACAACTTTTGGAGGCAAGTCATTGCACCGATTACTTGTTTTAACTTGGTTCTAGGTTGGTTCTCTCCTTGATTAGTTTCCATCTTTCTTGTTCTGCCAAACTTCTGGGCAGATTTATTTCAGTATAATACTAGGACTCTGCTTCTTCTACTAACCCAGGAGATGAATGGTAACAAATATGCTTACATACCGTAATTTGAACTGTGATCGCACCTCACCATGTTCTATTTGAATCAGTTCATTGTAACAAGCAATGATGCTGTTATTCTCCAAAAATCTCTGAGAAATACAAAAACAAAAAGTACAATTACAATAATTTACTTCTACAATACTCTATCTACTGATGACTTGACCAACTTTTTGCTTGCAAAGCACTAAACTCAAGGGAATGCAATTCTAAAATGCAAACAATATAGGGAAAGTATGTAGACGTCGGTTCCTGAATTTTTTCCAATCCTTAATAATAACAATGCTTTGAGCCATTTGACCCAGAAGAAGGAAGAGTTTTTGAATGAGGCATGAACAATATTTGAAGATGTGGCCCAGTTGCATCTCCCAAAGCAGTGCATTTGGTGATTCTTTTTTCTCTATAGCTGGCAGCCAATCCAGTAGGTACCACGGCAGGCATAACTAATCGCTGAAACACCAATTGGAGGAAATGTGAATGAGTCTCCTGGGTGCTCTCTATTGCTCCAGAGGGATTTTTGTGGAGATAAAAGCATTTCTGCACTAAAAGCTGGTGCCTGAATTTGTCACACCACCTTAATGCCCATTGACATCATGTTCCCTCCTTATGCTTTAGAAAGAAAGGCCAGGATCCTGTTACTATCTACATATATTGATTTTACAACTCTTAGAATTACAATCTCTGATGCTGGCTTGCAGTTCTAGAAGTAATGCTTCTATTTGGGTGAGGTGATTATCAGACTGAGAAAGCTATATGAGGGTATAACTTCTCTCAATATAGTACAAAATATTAATAAAGATTTTTAAGAACATAATAATTACCAAGGAAAAACAAATGTTTCTGCTGTATTAGAAACTTGAATTGAAATTATTGTATAAATGCATTTTCTTTGCTTATAAAATAATAAGCTGCCAGTGCAAGCCGAATGTATGCATGTGTGCCTCCAAATTCTCTTCTTGCAACTATCTGGACAAGTCCCTACAGTTTTCTTGGCAGGATTTTGGAAGTGGTTTTTCACTGCCTCTTTCCTAGGGTTGAGAAAGAGGGACTGGACCAAAGTCACTCAGTTGGCTTCATGATTAAGATGGGACTAGAACTCATGAAGTTCCAGTTTCTAGCCTGGCACCTTAACTTTTATACAAAACTGTCTCTAAGGTATAACAGTTTAATTGGACAAAAGTAGGATTTCCTAATAGAAATTACTAACTAGCACATAACATGGATGTTTACTAATACAGAATATTTATCCATGGCACAACTCAATTGACAGGAAACTTCAAACAAGCACTGTTTTGATTAATGCATGAAATAAAAGAATGCTATATTGCTAATCTCAGGCATACAGTAGTATATGAAAACTATAGTTTTAAGAAACTTCAAATATCATTGGCATTCCTATGTAATAACAAGGAAAGTAAAGACAAAAAACCATAGCCAAAATAATTATGGTTTCCTGTTATTACCAAGATTCTATTTTGGACCCATTGATGATAATGAATTTTGCCAGTGAAACTGCTTATTATAGCAATATACAACTGAAAAAAAGGCTTCTTTTAAGAGGGCACATAACTTTGATGGCAATCTCAATTAATAATGCTATTTCTGATGTTACTTGCCCTAAATAAGAACAAACAATTGCAGAGTCAATATACAAACCTTTGAAGAAATTTCAAAGGCACACAATGAAAGAAATGTAATATTAAAAGCATATCACATATTCTTTATTTTTGTTTTGTCTTGAAAAATATCAATGTTCATGTCATAACTGTAACCTCCACCAACCACTCTATGTAATACTCTACCCTTTCGACGAGAGGGGCGGCACTTAAATCTAATAAAAAAATAAAATAGGCATGCACAAATGATAGCCGCACCTCAGGAACAGTATTGTTTAAAAGTAAGCAACATCATAATTAATAGAAATAATTTCTATATAAATAGGATTTGAAGCTGTTGGATTTGCAACAATTATTCGTGCCTTTGTGGCATCATAACTGGAGTATTGTAATATGCTCTTGATAAAGATACTCTTGAAATATGCCTGGAAAATGGCTGCTGAAAATTATGGCAGTTAGGCTACTAACCATGCTCAATACTAAGTAAGCCATGCCCATGATGAAAAGCCTACACTGACTGCAATTATTTTCCAGGCATAATTTCAGGATTTGTGTTAACCTTAAATGCTCAGTACATCTTGCAATGCGTGATTATCTGAAGGACTGTATCTCTTAGCACAGATGCCAAAATCTTCAGGAGATGCATTTGAAATGCTTTTAGCCACCAAACTGACAGGTACAGTACACTCCAAAGGACATCCTAATGAGAATGGGCAAGGTTTTATTAGTTCAAAGAAAAGAGACATTGCAACAAAAGACAGAGGAGAATGCAGTCTAACTATATATAGAATCACCAGTTATCAAGTCCATCAGCAATTTCCCTTCCTAAAATATAAGTGGATAAATGATACGTGAAAAGAATCTCAAGATCCTGCAGGTCAGGTGAAATTCTCATCTATCCTTCCACTCTGTGAAAGAGGAGAGGAAATAGATATAAGAATACTGCAACTGAAAGATTAGCTCTGCAAATAGTATCAATGGAAGATATTTTCTTTCTGGGATATGGCATGAGTTATCCAGGTGATGAGTTGCTGGCATGAAATGGGTTGTATTTCATAAGGACAAATAAATATGTGTTTGCCAGAACAAACTCAAAGCTTGATTAGGGTTGAAACAAAACCCTGAAATAAGGACCTTGGATGAACATTTGTATATTGTAGAATGTGGGAGTGTTTGTGAAACTAAGCTTTTAAAACCATTTCGTGGAAGAAGTCAGAAAGAACATTGACCTATAAAGTTCATTGGCCCATACAGTGCATAACCTTTATGAGTTTGAGTTCATTTTGTTTATTTCCCATACTCTGATCTAAAATTCAGAGTATGGGAAATAAACAAGATGAGCTTGAATTCTCCATACAGAAGTTCATGTGCTTTATTAGGTGTAACAGAAATCTAATGGCATGATTCTGATTGTTAAAATATAGCAACCAAACGATGCAATTTGTTGAAAAGTAAAATTAGAAAACATTATGTTGTAGGTTAAACAGTATCTATTTTTGCTTAGAAATCCAAATGAATGAATTTAATAATGTTGTAGAAATCAGCTTGGTAAATATAAGTGAAAGAACAAATAAAACCACTGTCTTTGGTGTCTACTATACCTAACACATTCAAGCAAAAGATGAAGATTTATTAATTTATTGACCATATGGAAAAAAGGTGAATTCATATTGATACAGATTGCAGATTAGATAGATAACAAAAATACTGTTTTGAAAGGATAATTTTAATATTTAAATATATGTTTTATTAATTGATAAGTATTATATTTTTAATTTACTTTTCTATTTATTATATAGTTATGAACATTACTTATAAAGTATTATGTTTACATGGAAAGAAGGATATTTATCAGATAGGGAAGGAGGAAGTCTCAGTTTTTTTCCTCCTTAAACAAACAACAGTTCAGGTTAATCACTGAGGCATAATTCAATAATTATGTTAACGTCCATTGTTCGTTATGCTTATCTTTTTTTCTGCAGCTTATGAAATATACTGCACAGGCTAATGATGGCAGGAGACTTTGTCTGAACAAGTTGGTTATCATTGTTGCTATTCTGATGACAAGTGTACAAGTTGGTTATCATTGTTGCTATTCTGATGACAAGTGTACAAGTTGGTTATCATTGTTGCTACTCTGATGACAAGTGTGAAAATATGCAAGAAAGATAAGAAAGAAATCTCAGTTGGTAGGGAACATATGATTCATGCCAGTGGAGGATGAGATGGTTCTCAGCAGGGGTAAGCAACCTTTTGGGTTTAGTGGACAGACATAGAATGTTAGAGCCTATACACATTTTCATCAAATGTTAGGTAGGATGGCCAGCCACAAAATATCAGTTTGCAATTGTTTCTTCACCCTACATCTTAGTTAACTGAATACATTGACCCCCCCCCCCATGGAATCCAAAAGCATTGGATGCTAGAGATCGGGGTTTTCTTTTACAGCAGGCAGTTTCCCTTTTTGAGGAAATAAAAGTCAATTTTATTTACTTTTTACTTAGAGTCATTTGGGATTCTGGTAGATAATGTGTTGTCTACCCCTGATTTCATATGAGTTTACCTCTATACCATAGCATTATGGTTACAGAGTTTTAGTATTTATAATGATCCCATTCAGAGTAAAAGCCCGTCAATCAACGTACACACACACACCATCACAATTCCTTTTCTTTTCTTCTCTCTATCCCTAAGGTTGTCCTATAGGCCTTCATAATACCTCCTGATTCTCTCTTAATTTATCTTCCTTCCAGCTGCAGTTTCTTCACTACTTCTTATCTTACTGGGAAATTTCCTAAGTCTTAGTCTCTTTTCTATTTCCCTTCCACTATATCAGCTCTTTTCCAGATAGCTCATAAATGTATCTGATGAATAAAGATGGCTAATGGCTGGAGAGAATGTTTCCTGCCAAAGCATTCTCAAAACAAAAACAAAAACAAACCAATTTAGAGAGAAAAATAGTGGTGTATGTAATCATAAGTCTCATCAGAGTAGTTTGTACACATAAGTATGTGAGGGGAGAGGTCAACAAATATATCAGTAATTATAGTTTTAGATTACATCATATGGAGCCAATAAATCCAATATTTTTGCAGGACCATATGGCATACTACAAAAACAGGAAGATACATATAGCAAGGAGGCATGCTAAAAAGATGGAACTAAAAAATTAGAACAGAGGCTGATTTTTAAAAGTAACATCAATTACATAAAGGCTAACTAAAGCTTTGTTGTTTCAGAAAAAAAACAACAGAATGTAGGCTTAATGGAACAAACCTCACCTATCAAGATGTTCCAAAAACAGAGAACTAAGTAAAATAATACATCTTCAAGAATGAAATTGAGCAAGAAATCTGAGGTTTAAATTATTTAGCGGTAATCCTCAACTTACAACCATTAGTTTAGTTACTATTCCAAGTTACAACACTGATAAAAAAGTGACTTATGATTGGTCCTCTCACATTTACAACTGTTGCAGCATCCCCAAGGTCACATGATCAAAATTTGGATGCTTAGCAACTAGCACGTATTTATGATGGTGGCAGCATCCTAGGGACATGTCATTGCCATTTGCAACCCTCCCAGCAATGTTCTAACAAGCTAAGTCAAGCCAGATTTGCTTAATGACCATGTGATTCACTTAAAACAGCAGTGATTCATTTAATAACCATGGCAAAAAGGTAATAAAACTGGACATAAGTCACTTAATAACCGTCTTGTTTAGTAACAGAAGCTGTAATCCTAAGTCAATGATTCCCCATGTGGCATATTTTTTAAAAATATTTTTTTTAAAAAAAACAATTCTGAAATCTGCCTCTTTTACATAGTCCAACAAGCTGCTAGGAAAGATATGATCCTCCCTCCTAACCCACCACCCAGCCTTGTTTTCTCTTTACATAGTGACTGTGAAGGCAACATGCCAACCAATTCCTTGGTTTCTTTTCCAATCAGCAGTCAGTGGCTGTGCTGCACCAGCAAATATACAGTGTGAGGCAGTTATAGATGATTTATGTGATCCCTTTAGAGAACCTTATTTTCAAACTGAACATCCTTTTCTTGGTTTCTTTTACAGGAAATCATGCCCAGGCTTGTAGAAATGTATTTGTCGGTATCTTTTCACCTCCTTATATCTAGCCAGCAATAATACGTCTATAACTTAGCTGTTTATTTATGAACTAAAATGTGGAGGAGCTGAAGGAGCCACAGTTGTCACATGCAACAAATGCTTGCATGGCAACATGAGTGTTATGTTGACATGAAGTTTGATAAATCAATTGTTTATAGCCTAAGCAATCTACAATAAATGTAACATACCCTATTAAATCCTGAACGGAGAAGTGGGAGAACAGAAGCTTCTTCCTGACCTGCAGATCTACAGAAATACAAAATATATTATCAGTCAATAGAGTCAATGTATATGGTTGTTAAGAGTTGGCACCAACCTGATGGCACAGAATCAATCGTTCAAGAGACTGAAAAATCCTCTTTTTGTGGCTGTATTCGGGGAGGTTAAGGTCTCTATGGACTACAGAAGGAATAACAGAACTGTAGTAACATCATCAGAGAGAACAAGATTGAAATGCTTGTTTTTTCTTTCCTTGATATTTAAAAAAAATTCAGAATAGGTGTGTCAGGCCTTTGTTTTTGTTTTTTGTTTTAAAGTCACATGAAAAACTCTACATTTGCTGCCAAATTTTGCAAAGATCATTCTGAAAGCTCTGGAGGCCTCAGGAAAAAACATGAGGATATGGAGAGACACCATTCCTTATTGCCAAAGAAACAGTCATGTTGAACTCACAAATAATAAATCATGATGGATATATTTACTATTGTTCTTTCAGTTTCCCAACTATTATGAATTTTATAGAATTTGGTCTTTTTATGTGTTGCTGAAAAATTCAAGCGAAGCTGTAGTTTGCATGGTGTTTGATGGTAAAACTTCGTGGCGCAGTGGTTAGAATGTGGTACTGCAGGCTACTTCTGCTGACTCCCGGCTGCCAGCAGTTCGGCAGTTTGAATCTCACCGGCTCAAGGTTGACTTAGCCTTTCATCCTCCAGGGTCAGTAAAATGAGGACCCAGATTGTTGGGGGCAATAGGCTGACTTTGTGAACCGCTTAGAGAGGGCTGTAAAGCACTGTGAAGCGGTATATAAGTCTAAGTCCTATTGGTATTGCTAAAAGATTTGAACTCATCACTTAGAACCACTGTGAGAAACTTTGCTGCAAGAGTGAGCTTGAGCTTCATTTGCTTTGATCTCAGTTCACGTGCAAGTCTCCTTCCAGGAGCAATCATGGCATGTCCTACTTGTTTCTGAATGAAATTTCAATCATGTAATGTTTTATATGTTAAAAGAATCTTCTGATGGTGCTGATCATTTTCTAGGCTAAGAAAAAAATTTGAATTTCAATGACACATCGAGAATGGAAGTCCAGAAAGTAGTACCTTTGGCTAGAACAAAGCTAGGTTTTATTACGTTTACATTTAATTAAAATCAATGTAATTATATTTGAGAGCTATAGCTCCTTCTGTCTCATTAACCATTGCAATATTTGGTGGTCTTCAGTGGACACCACAGGTTTTACAGAGTTGTATGCAGCTGTGAGGCCTCAGCTGAGCCTCTGACATTTACTAAGATGTTCATGACAAACTGCTACTTATTCCTTTCAATATAGCTTTTTATTATAATGTTCTACTAAAACTGTCTTTTGTGAAAATGGGAGCTTGAATCAATCACAAAACGCTACACGTTAGTCCACAGTATCATGAAGTTGGATGCAAAGATACTTTATTCACTATATAACTATAACCATTAAAAAAAGTATATAAATAAGCATACATCCCCAAATACTTACATTTGTAAGGTAACAGCTATTATCACAGTATGTTCAGCAGGTTTTGTAGCACGAATTGACCTGGAATGAAGAAAGTTCAGGCCATATTTGATTAAACAATTTTATTAACAAAAATTTACCAACTACATATTAAGATGGGATGCATAATTATTTGAATCTCTCTCTCTCTCTCTCTCTCTCTCTCTCTCTCTCTCTCTCTCTCTCCACAGTGTCTCATTGTTCTATTTTATGAAAGGCCAGACCTAAGTTGCTAAAAAAAAAAAGCAAGATGAAACAATAAATTTTCTGCTAAACTGAAACAAATTCTTGACAAGCAACATGGGATCACATAGAACCAATATACTAAAAGCATGTCTGCAGTTATACAGGCTAATAAGAAGAGAGTCCCTATTAAACTTACATTTTGAATTCTAAATAAATGATATTGGCTGAAACTCTCCCTTATTAGAACTTTAGAAGGATATTATCTCAGAAGTAATTGAACTGTGACATTATATGGACCATATGGATGGTGGTCAGCAGTCAGAGAAGGAATATTGGTTGTTCAAAGCCTATCATAGCAGTTTTGGTTTCTAAAAATCTGGCAAGAACAAGGTTCTACAACAGCTCATACTGACTGATTATTCATTTATCCCACTCAGCTTATAATAACAAAACAGTGACTTTTTTGTGACAAGATCCTGAATATGGGACCACGTGTCTTTTCCCAAGAAAAGCAATATCAGCCTCATTTTCATCATTCTTCTGCTGTACCCTGAAAAGCTTGAGGCTCAAGATTTTTTACACATGTGTTTAATGCTGAAGATACAAGTTTTAGATAGAGCTTAGATACAGTGTTAAAGCAAAACATCTATTGTCTCTTTTGCAGTATATGAAGTGGAACAACAAATTACATGTTTGTGTATACTTCAGAACTTAGTTTCTAAATTAGAATCTGGAAAAATCTTTAATTATGCTCCTTTATGCCAGTCCAGCTGACTGTTGCCAATCAGACTCACAAAGCATTTTTCCTAGCCAGATTTGACACATTATCTTCAGCTATTAAATATTATAAGATCCACTGTTTTGAACTTTTTTGCCACTATGGTTCTCATGCAACAGAGGATGTAGGCCCTGTCTTATTATTTTGCAGTTTTTACAGAGATGTATGAACCATATTAAACATGCCCCTTCTAAAAGACTTTTCTGGCATAGACAATGAAATATAGATCTCATTCCTCCTATCCCATTGTCAGATCAATATTACATATTTCACAGACAAATTGTGTTTAGCAGTCATGAAAATACACTGTTGGATTTGCCATAGCATAGCAGAATAACTACCAAATATTTGAAACTATTCAGATTACTAATGATGCCAGTGCTATAAATAACATGTGCCGCAATCCAGGGTCCAGAGATAAAAACCTGAATCTCTTTATCTTTTATCAACAGATTAGTGCAATTTTTCTCTCTCCCCATAAGTGAATTATTTGATTTTACTCTCAGGTTTAATTTTTTATCTTATTTTTGTTGTATTTGCATATGTTTCATCCAACTGCTCAGAGATCATCAATAAAATGTACTTCTGTTGTTTATATAGGAATCAAATTTCATAAATGCCTTAATGGATGGATTTTGGAGGATCAGATCATTGACTACATTGCTGTGTAACTATCTGCAATATAAATTCATCTGACCCAACCATCACTAAAAGTGGTCAGAGCAACCCAGTTTAGTCATCATAATCTTTACTTTCTCAGCAGGACTCCTGATCTTATTTTTGTTTTATAGAGAGCCATCTCTCAGGCATGTCTTTTATTCCACTGTATGCTTGTCATTGGAAAAAGAACAAGGAAGAAATGCCATAGTTTCATAGGATTCTGGCATATGAAAACATCTTCCTAGGATCTTCACAGAGTGGAAAATTGCTATGACTCCATGATCAAAGCCCTGCTGCTTCTTCATATATGTTGCACATGTGACACATGTAAAAAGGGCGCAGCATTTTAATTGTGTAATTACAGCTATCACCTTGATTTTTTTAAACCTCTTTCTCACGAATGCCCCAGAGAATTGATAAATCCTTCTCCTTAAAATCTAACTTTTTATATTCCAGAGATTTCACACACTGATTTCATATGAAAGAACATCTCATCATATGACAATCCTGCTCAATTGTCCAGAAACAATTTTTGCCACTGAAGTTAGGAAGTGAATATAGAAATTGCATAATAGTATTTTCCTACACTGCCGGGATCATATGAAATACAAGAATAAGTAATTACCTACAGATGGCTTCTGCATCAAAGTGTCTGGAGTTTCGATAATCTATGACAATTATTTCATGATGTTTATCAAGAAAGCATTCAAATGCTGATTCTGGTGTCCGAGCAATGTTACACCTATACCCAGCTTTATTACAAGCCCACCAGAATCCATCACTCTGTTTGTCTTCTTTTGCAAAGATTAGCAATACCTATAAAATACAGAAAATTGTTTAAAATTACTATGCATTTAAAACAAAAATTTTGGTCTATGACAAAAATAAAATAAAAATACAATTAAAGTCATTTCTTTCACTGTACAGTTTACCCAGTAATCTTTAGTATATATACATATATACATATATACTCTGACATAAGGTTTACTGTAGAGGAAGAAAGACACAATTCTCTTGCCTTCTTAGATGTTTCCATCCACCGTCAACCAGATGGATACCTACATACGAAGGTATTCCGTAAACCAACCCACACGGATAGAATCCTCCATTACCAGAGTAATCATCCTGTTTCCCATAAAATCAGCTGCATTAAAACGTTATTTAAACGCGTTGACTCCCACTGCAGCACGGATGAATATAAGAAAGAAGAGAGGAGACACCTCTTCCGTACGTGCATATGTAACGGTTATCCATTAAAATTTATCAAACGACATTGTACAACTTTCCAGCACCAGACCACCCAACGAAGAAGGGATTCCCCCCTACAAAAAACACACATCTCCCTCCCATACATAAGTAACATCTCAGAGGCCACAGCCAGACTACTAGCACCCCATGGTATAGAAGTAGCTCACAAACCTAATCAAACCCTACGATCAAAATTATGCGTCCAAAGGACCTCCTACCTACCATGGAGAAATCTGCTATTGTTTATAAGATCAACTGCAAAAACTGCGAAGGCAACTATGTGGGAGAAACAGCCAAATGCTTAAAAACTCGCCTCCACGAACACAAACTGGCCATAAAACGAGGCGAACCACACTCACAACTTTGGATGCATATGGCACAACAAGGCCATCAGTTTGACTTCAATAACACCCTTATCGTAGCCACGATAAGGAGGTTGGCTGCTAAAAGAAGCCTGGTTCTCGAATAACAACTCAATCAATCGTCACATTGACTTGCACCCAGCACAACAAGCGCTACGAAAATGGAACTCAAACCATCATCCTTTATATCACAAACCTTACAATCAACATCCACAACGTTCTAAACCAGGAGCTACACCTCCTCCCCACCAGAAACAATCTGATATAGACTACCCAAAAACCTCCCAACAACATCAAGGGGAAACCACACCCCCTTTAATTGGAGAAAACAACAATAATGACCTTGGAGCGCTTAAGAAATTTGAGGATAGAACCACTAAATTTAGCACTACCCATAATAATAATAAAAGTGAATATCCCATACAGAGAGGGGAGAAAAAACATGTGATGACGACCCGTTCGCTTGATAAAAGGGAAAGTAACATGAGCAAGGAATCTGCCCAAATACCAACAGACTTTTGCTCACAGAAATGGGGGGGATTTAACTTGAATATTGACCTACGAGGGGAGATGAGCATGGAGGACACCATGATGGAAGAGGATGATTCAAACATTGAAAAATACCACATCCAGTTGATGCTTGTACATGCGAGCAAAGATAAATACGGGAACACGCAGCAGAGGAAAGATGTTAAATTGCAGCCGATGAAGCCCCGCCTCCATGGTAGGATACACAATGACATCAAACTAAATCCCCCCGCTGCAATGAGAGCCAGTGCTGCCAGGAGAGGGCAGAACATAGCTCTAACAATACCCCCTGAGATCGACGGAGATGTGAACACAAGTGCTCGAGAGAACGACAGAAGAAATCTTTACTCCAATTCCCCCTCCCACCTATCAGCTGTTCAGCAGGGAATGCTGGCACGGTCTAGGAACCAAGCGCAGACGTCTATGGAACCCGTTTAAACCACCTTGTTAGAAACGGTCTCTCAGCCCTGAAGATGTTGGGGAGTGTTCCCAACGAAAGCTTGGCAACCTTTTAATATAGTAAAATACTTTAATTAAAGTATTTTAACTTTAAACTCTCCTGGTGAACGCGCTTTATTCATTCCATTTATACATATATACATATGTATATATATATATACATATATATACACAAACCAGAAGCCAGACCACAGCTGCATCATTAGCCACTTTAAACCCCTCCAATCCATACATGAAGCAAACTGACACCCACCATGAAGATGAGGCACGACCACGAACGCGAAGCCAAAAATTAGCAATGCAGCTCACCATTTTAAACCCCCCGGCAACTCAGACTAACCTGAGCACAACAAAGCCCCCACCCAAACAGAACACTCCCCCAGCCAATCAGAACACAGCCAACCCCCCAGCCAATCAGAGCACAGCCAAGCTCCTAACCAATCAGAACACACCTCCATCCAATAAGAACACAGCCAAGCTCTCATCCAATCAGTTCATACCCCCATGGGTAGTTAAAAGGAGGAAACAGCTACAACCACACATTGCTCCTAGAAGCACAAAGCTGAAAGCACCAGCCTGAAGATGACGAATGAGACTTCGTCGAAACGTCGCCAAGACACTTCCAATTTGACGTGGGAGAAAACCTGAATAACCAAAGACCTACATACATATATACATATATACAAATACCCGCGAAAACCTCAGAAAACAAGTATACATATATACATATATATATGTATGTCTTTGATTATTCGGGTTTTCTCCTACGTCAAATTGGAAGTGTCTTGGCGACGTTTCGATGAAGTCCCATTCGTCATATTCAGGCTGGTGTTTTTGGCTTCTTGTTTCTAGGAGCAATGTGTGATTGTAGCTGTTTCTTTTAACTGCTAGTGGGGGTATAAACTGATGGATGGGAGCTTGGCTGTGTTCTGATTGGGTGGAGGTGTGTTCTGATTGATTAGGGGTTTGGCTGTGCTCTGATTGGATGGGGGGTTGGCTGTGCTCTGATTGGATGGGAGAGTGTTCTGTTTGGGTGGGGGGTTTGTTGTGCTCAGTTTAGTCTGAGTTGCAGAGGGATTTTAGATGGTGAGCTGCATTGCTGTTGTTTGGCTTCGCATTCGTGGTCGTGCCTCATCTTCATGGTGGGTGTCAGTTTGCTTCATGTATGGATTGGAGAGGTTTAAAGTGGCTAATGATGCAGCTGTGGTCTGGCTTCTGGTTTGTGGTCGTGACTTATCATCGGTGTGGGTTTGGGTTTGCTTTTTGCGTGGATGTATGGTGGTGACATCTTGTGTGGTTTTCATGAGTGTGGGTCTGGTGTCATTCTTTGTGTTAGGGACTCATTTGTCAATAAGGGCGAGTTTCCAAATGGCTGGTAGGTGGGAGGTATCATCTCGTTTAGTCATGCTATGTAGGCGTTTTTCTATCTCAATGGCTTCTCTGATTATTCTGTTATTAAAGTGTTCAGTTCTGGTGATAGTTCTGGTCTTTTTAAAGTCAATTTCATGTCCTGTGGCTTTAAGGTGTTGGACCAGGGAAGAAGTTGGTTCCTCTTTTTTGACTGAGTTCTTATGTTCTTCAATGCGTGCACTTATTCTTCTGTTGGTTTGTCCGATGTATGTGGTGGGACAAGCGGTGCATGGGATTTCATATACTCCTTGATTTTCTAACACCAGTCTGAAGATGACAAATGGAACTTCATCGAAATGTCGCCAAGACATTTCCAATTTGACATGGGAGAAAACCCAAATAACCAAAGATCTACATACAAACAAAGACCTACATATCCTCAGAGCCCCCAGGGACACATTCACTTTTCAAAAGCAAGAAATAAAAAACTGTTTTAAACATGTGTACATATTTGAATGTTATTTTTGCTTTTAAATACATAAGCTTTATATTGTTGAAGGGATGTGCATGGGCTTATGAATATATCTGTAAAGTTTCTATTCTTAACTATGTCCATTTCACTTCTATTAATGTCATCATTGGTCCAGAAGATAATATGCCAGTACCTCCTCCTTTCAGTTCAGTGAATATAATTATGCTACATCTAGACTATCTATCAGTAGACTTCCTTCAACTTTCAGGAAATACCTCCCAAGTATCTTTAAAGGATTCTGTTTGATTCAAAGTAAAGAAGTTCCCTACAAAACTTTTTTTTTTTTTTGGAAATGTAGCACTTAATATTTATTGGTAAAGTAAGACAGTTAGATTTTTTATTGTCAAATAAGAGAAGTCCTACCTGAATAGGATCTTGTGTCAATCTCATAGGTCCAATTTCTGTCTCAGTAGTTGAAGCCTGCTTTTTAAAAAAAGCAATATGTAAGACTTTGTTTTGTCCCATTGTGAGTCTATAATATTAATGGCATTTCATTGCAATTATTAAATTAATGCATCAAAAATAATTTTTATTCCAAAGACATGAAGCACCACTATAGTACATCATTTTGACTCTAGATTAGGCATATCAAACTCATGACATCACGTGATGTCGCGCAACGTATCGGAACTTTTTCCCCATTGCCGGCAATGGGGTGGGCACTGTTTTGGCATGATGCATCTGGCCTGTGGGCTGGCAGTTTGACATGCCTGCTTTAGATGATTAAAGGAGTCCATCCTTTGGAAAGTTCATATAGCTGCTTCAGAAGCTTCTTCCAATTATTTGCACAATTGTATATTTAGACAGATAACATTTTTGTTATCACTGCCTATGAAGTGAGGTTACTAGGCACGGACATGCTTGCATTCAAGAACAGTTATATGAGCTTTAGATGAGCTTGCCCTGCCACAGACATCATACCAGATAGCTTCATTATTGCCAAGTAATAAAGAACTGCCTGAAAAAAAAGGTGGTAGGAGTCATTTATATAGGGATTTATGAGATAACCAGAACTTTTAATTGCAATCAGAAACTTTAATGAAATCTTTAATGAAAAGAAAGACTAGCAGTGACATGACAGCAGTGTTCCAATATCTAAGGAGCTGCTACAAAGAAGAGGGGCCCAACCTATTCTTCAAAGCATCTGAAGGCAGAACAAGAAGCAATGGATGGAAACTAATCAAGGAGAGAATCAATCTAGAACTAAGGAGAAATTTCTTGACAATTAGAACAATTAATCCATGGAACAACCTGACTCCAGAAGTTGTGGGTGCTCCAATGCTGGAGGTTCTTAAGAAAAGATTGGACAACCATTTGTCTGAAATGGTATAGGGTTTCTTGCTTGAGCAGGGGGTTGAACTAGAAGAACTCCAAGGTCCCTCCCAATTTTGTTATTCTGTTGAACTTATTAGAAACATGTACAAAAGTGTTGTGATGTGACTGTAGCAGCTGTCACTGGCCAGGAACTGGGTGGACCAATTTTAGTTTCCAAGTGGTCTTCATGACAGCCCCAAGTAAAGCACACCACATTAAGCACTGCTTTATGATAAGGGCATGAGTCACTGTTCCCAGGACATGGATTCACCTGATCCACTCCTTCAGTATGAATCTAGTTCACCTGAGCTATTTTGGTTGCTGGAAAAATAAAATAATTTTAGTGAAGAGAATTTGAAAAATGCTTTTATGACTGTTTTTTATATGGTGAAATCATTCCACTTTTATTGGAGTAAGTATTCCGTTGTTGGGAACACTTCCAAAAACAGTTTCCCAGAAAAACACATCAAGAAATAATGCTCAACATGAATCTTATGTTTTCCTGATGATCTGCCTCATTGATGCTTCTTTAGTGGTATCCAACATAAACTAAACTGTTTATTCTAACATTAATAGGCTGTTCAATTAGCCCAACTAAAACTCTCATATTGAGTTATACCATAAGCATAATACAAAATGTATGTACATTTCATTAACACTGTCAGTAATATGTAGCTCATTTACATTAATTATAGCTTATAAAAACTGTGTCTGCACTGCACAATAGAGTGCTACAAAGCTGTCAATGTACCATGATAATTTTTGCTCAGCAAGTTAAATTAGTATTATTGTAAAATTCCTGTGCCAATTTTTCCTTTAAAGACAGACTTGGCTGACTTATTTGAATTTTTTTTAAAGCAAAGCTTTATAACAAGTACTCCAAATAGCTATTCTCAACATGGTGCATGCGTTTAAAGGTAGATATTTTAAATGCAACCATATAATTTTTATTATTGCAGATTGGGGTGATGTGATGGGAGTGATATCCAAGCATAACAACATGGAAAAGGCTATAATTAAACAGACTTTTTTCATGATAATGTGTGCTGCATAAGGTATCTCAGAAGTTCTCCTTCTTGAGATACTCTCTGTCTCTTATAGAATTTGATTCCTATAAACAAAAAATAAAATTTGAACATATAAGCATGCCAATTAAGTACTCCCTCTTTTTCTTTTAAAAAAAGCCCACATTTTAATATCTAATTCCAACTTATGTCTTAGGGTGGGGGCTCTTTTATGCCTTCAAGTCAGTGTTGACATCTGGTGACTACAATTTTCTTCGTAAAGTTTTTGGATGTGATTTGCTGTTGTCTCCTTCCTAGGAGAGAAAGCATCTGGCCCAAGGTCACCCAATTGGCTTTGTGCCTAAGAAGGGACTAGAACTCCATGTCACCAGGTTTCTGGCCTTAATCACTGCACCAACCTAGCTCTCTATTATTTCATTTAGAATTACCAGCTCTGGGGTGGTAAAAATCTGGACAACCACTAAATGGCAAAGAAATAGAGGTTCTTAATTCTTTCCTGTCATTTTAGTGGTTCCTTTTATTTCCACCACCCAAATCTCTTAGCCCTGATCTAGTTAACCTTTAAATAAGCATTGATTTGTTTTTTGGATTTGTACTTTGATCTTTTTTTGTTTCTTTCACATACCTCAGAATGACAAAACAAGCATCATGTTGTGATGAAAGCAACATCCCTTGCATATGTTTGCAGTGCTAACACATCTGTATAAGAAGGACAGAACTTGTATTGTATGGCCATGATAGTTGTTTTGTCATCTACCTCATTCTGGCCACCCCTGCAAGCAACCATGGCAAGGTATATGTTACGTGAGCACAAAATCTCAAATTCCTGCCATTTTCCAGGAGGAAAAACTCCTCCCTGACATCCTAGAAAGATGCTGCCCATCGCTACTGATGATGGTGGAATAGAAATCTGATCTCAGAGTAAGGCAATTCTAAATTTTCTATTAGCTATCCAATTATCTGTTCCTAAGATGTAGCCAAATAGTATCATGACATCCCTTGCTACTGATTCATCCATTCCTGCTAAAAAATTTAGAACAAAGAATTGTGAAAGCATTTAGAAGCTAATGACACAGTGAATAACAAACTGTTTCATTTTCATAACTGATTTAAGAGTTTTGATATCTTTTCTGTGCAGAGACTTCAAAATATTACACGAATAGCTTCTTATGACTGCAGAATCATTTCTAAAACAATTGTTCTTACTGATTTATTGGAAGTTCTATGTTTTTTTTTCTTCAAGACTACAATTTTCTGGACACTAGAACTACTCCACTTTTGTACAGTACCAGGGAAACTAGACATCGTGCTCTAATGTCATTGTGGCATTCAGTAGTGCTGCATGACTTGTCAGAAGTATATAGCCTATATTATTCATGACAGAACTAGTAATGAGATTCACCAATGTTTCTCCTTCATTGCCATGCCATTGTGCAAGCTTCTAAGAGCCAAACTAGATGTGACAGTGGATGTTGTATAATGCACGAATGACATACCAGATTTAATAACCAAAGGGGTATGTTGGTTTATTTCATCACTGACAACACAAGGCCATTCTCCAAAGCTGAGGGCAATGGTGGTGTTAAAGACACTTCTATAATTGCTGCCTGAGGAGGCTCTTTTTATTCTCCCAAAAGGCTGTCAGGGATACCCTGATAGGAACAAAAAGACTTTGAATGACGTCAGCAGGAATTAAAAGCTCAGTTAACCTCTGGGGTACTGAGGTATTACTCCAACTGACAGATTCTGGGACCACGTACTGCATGCCTGCAGAATATTTATCCTTGAGCTCTGTATTCTATTTTTGGCACTAACATTATGCTCTCCTGAGGGGTTTCTCTTCTGAGAGAGAAGAAAAGCAAGGAATTCAGCCCAAGATACATCTACAGATCTACAACCTCCAGGGGAATAACTGCTTTAATTATTCAAAAAGAAGTGCTTCATATGGTCATATCCATTCCTGCACATTGAATTCATGGTTTTTCCAAGGCTCTGCATGGTTTTCGTGCTAAAAAAATTCACACAGGTGAATTTCTAGTTGTCAGTGAAACTATTAAATAGTTCAAAGCTACAGAATCTCAGTAATTCCATCCCTCTTTTGGAGAATACTGTAGTGATATTGTCCAAAGTACAATAACTTTGTCCTCAGAAATTTTCCTGTAGCGAAAGGATTGTGCACACCAGGAACATTACTATTGCACAGAAAAACTTAGCTCTTCCAAAAACCCTTAATTATAATTATGGAGAGAAAGTGCCTGGTAGCCAGTATTAAGTAATCCAGGCTAAATTTGCAAAGAAGATGATGTTTGATTGCTCTTTGGAAGTGGTTTCAAAAAATTGTCACATCATTCAGAACATGAGTGCAATTTGTAAGTTTAATTTTATAACAAATCTTGGACCTGGATTTCAAATACTCATGTGCTCATTTTGGATTGTTATAATGCACTGAGCAAGCATATTCAGACTGCTGAATGTTTAATGTATATTTCTTCTCATTTCAGCTATCATTTGTAAAGTATCATTTTAAGCTCTCTTCAATATTAAAAAGAAACCTTTATTCTGCAAAGTAAGAAGTATTAGCCAAACTTAGAAATCCTTCAAGAAATTTCTTTTGCTGTGATCAAATTATCTCATTTTAGTTGTGATGTTATTATAGAAAAGAATGCATTAGCATAAAATGGCATGTTCTTCTTAGCTCATCTTAGATTACAATAAAACAGGGCCAATTTTCAGACTGTTCTTTGCCCAACATTGTTGTTATACAAATGACTTTAATATAAGAACAAAAGGGGAAAAAATTGTTCCTCTTTCTCCTTAAGAAAAGTACATTCCTAATTTAAGTTATATAACTAATAGCTGAATATATTCACAATGAAAATAACTGACAGCTCTGAAATTCTACTAGAAGCCTTATTTATGGAAATTTCTTAGAAAGTCTTCTCCATTATCTTGAAAGCAAAATGGGATGAGCAAAGCAGTGATTTGTAATCTTTAGTATCCCAAATCTCCCCTCTTTTTTGAGGTCTCCAGAGTTCTGAGACCATTGTTAGAAATCAGGGGTATGACCTCCCCACAGGCGGTTCT